AATTTTTCAATGTGTTTTCCCTTAATGATGGGTTTGCTCCAGCTTCTTCTTCTCCTTTTTGGTTCAGCAGGTGAAATGATGATGAGGTACTACCTTCCACAAGTCCCTTCCCTGTGCACTTGCTTAATTCCAGTTAAGAAGCAGAGAGTTGACATGTACCAAGCATGCATTTGGGGCTTAGTGAGGCCTTGACAGTTTTTGCCTGCTGCTCATCAGGTTGAAGTACCGAGGCCTGAACAATAGGCCCTGGGCCAAAGCTGACCTCTAGATGAACCTTCCAACCAAATGTTATATGTGTCCACTCGTATCAATGCCATTAGCAATATGATTGATGTATCTGTTCATTGTCAAAACATGTATTCACCCTTCCCTATTTAGGAACCAGATAAGGCTGGATGTGCAGAAGAATTGTTGGAACATTCCCAGCAAATCTACTGAGTGTCTTGAGCTTGCAATGTTCTGCCTTCAGCCCAACAGCTTCACCTCCTTGTTGCATTTATTTGTGATTCATTCATGCTGCAGTGGAGACTTGCCCTCCCTAAAACACACAATTCCATGATACTATTCAAGAAATTTGGTGTTCTCCCTGCCAACCCTCTGCTCTCAGGGCTTTGAGTAAGACAAGGCTTGTGTTCATTAAATGTGAAGTTTTGGCTTTTGCCAAAGTCAGGTGAAAGCTTTTCATTTTATTGTTGACAAATAATTAAGTGTGAGCTTCTCTCTAGGCAGCTGTGAGCAGGTCTGTGCCTTCTCTCCTAAAAGAACTCCTTGCTGACAACCACCCCAAAGGAGCTGCAGTAATGGTGCTTGCTTTGTCTTTGGGGTTTTTGCTAAAACACCAAGCTGTGCTCCGAGTGGACTCCTGTGGTGCAAAACTGGAGCTCTGGGTTCTTGTAAAGTCTGATACTAGGCACAGCTTGCAAATTATCCCTCTCTAGGATTCTTCCTAAAGATCACAAAAGAGATCACTTGCTGGAGACAGAGTCAGGGATATGTGATGCACTCAGGGACTCCTGTCAAGGAAGGAGAGCTACAGAGTTCCTAAACAGCCTTCCTCCCACCACTCCAAAAACTGCTCTGCTGGCTCCTGTTCTTTATAAGCTCCTTTAATTTTTGACTTCTCATGTCTGAGGGTCCACTAGAAAGCTTGAATTCTGCTGCTACCTCTTACAGTGGGATGTTTGTTTGCTCTCCAAGGGCCCCTGAAGGATGTAGCTAAATGAACCTGTGTTATTGATTTCCTACAATCACAGTCAGTGAATAGCCTCCCAGTGCTGCAGGATAGGGAAGACTTAATTAAGGGAAGATTGCTGGCCTGAGATAGATTCTCTCCTTGCAGACCCTGTTTCTGAGAGTAGCAGAATACTGGATGGGATGCCTGAGACATCTCTCTGGGCTGTGCAAAGGCCTTTGCAGGGAGGAAGAGAGTGCTGTAGGTTGAGGCTGGATATTATAGAAACAAGAGCTTTGAGCTAGCACATGGAAAAGTGAAGTTTGTGGAAGGGTCAGAGAAGACCATGGCTAACATCTGTTTAGTTTTGTGAACTGAGTAGGCAAACAGTTGAAGTAAGTTGGGCTGGTGCAGTGGGAAATAAATGTTGATGAGCTTAAGAGCAGAACAGGACTTGCTCCCCCAGTATCCTGATTTCCTGTGCAGTGTTTTGTAGTGGAGGTGAATACAGGCAGGAGCTGGCTGCATCCACCTCCAGGTGTGGTACAATTTGCTTTCCTGTTCTTTTAACTCTGCTACTGAAGTAGCGGAGTCAAAAGAGATGGGCATGTGGCATGTTGTTTGTGTGCCACTGCTCCTCATGCTCTTCTTTCCTGTTAATGACCTGTCTTGGAAAGTCTTGTTCTTTTCCCAGCAGTCAGGAATGGCATGGTTCAGCCAGCTCTGGGCAGCAGTGACCTGGCACTCACTGTGCTGCTTGGAAATATGTTGAAAGCCATCAGTGTTGTAAAGACAACACACTACCCAGTGAGCAGTTAATTATAGGCCTAACCATGTCTTGGTGGTTGAACAGAGAGTTTCTTGGGGTTTGGGGTTTTTTTGCATTAGACCTCACTGCTTTTATGGTTTTGTGGCATCTGTGGCCACTTCTCTGTGCCATAGTCCACTGCCCTCTGACTTTTGCAGATCAAGCTGAAGAGTCATGCTGTGAACTGTCAGGAGTCCTTGGCCTTGTGGTTTTGGCTCAAAGTGGGACACAAGATATGCCCCTGTACACACACTCAGCAGTTCTGCTCCCCAGGGTGGTAAGAAACTATTGGCTTTGTGGTCTTAATGGTATGGTTAATCCTTTCTGGATTGCCAGCGCTCTGAGCAAAGAGCAGCCACAGGAGCAGGGGGGTGGGCTGGCATTTACAGAGCTGGGCGTTCATTGTGACACTGATGTGCAGTGTCACAGCTCTTCACTAGAGGACAGCATTACACATGGCAAAGTAATTCTCCTCTTACAGATTTTCTGTGTGACTGGAGTAAAATGGGGTGGAGGTTACAGTAATTTGCTGGAAGTCAGGAGGGAGGTTTAACGATGTGGCTTAAATCAGTGTCTGGAAACCTCGTCTCCTAAACCTTGTCTGAAGGGTGATGCTGCCTGCCTTGCTGCTGCATGCACCCTTTGGGAGGTGCAGGCTGCTGGATAGGTAGCACAGCAAGAGAAGGAAGAGTAGTAAATTAAAGAAAGGGAAATGCTTGCATATCAAAACTGTTGCAGTAAGTGGTGGGTTGCCTGGTATGGAAGGTATGGGAGGAAAGCAAGGAGACAAAGGGATGTGGGATGAGTGTGCACTGGATGATGGGCCTTACAGGACAGAGAAAATAAAGGATGGCTTGAATAAACAAATACTGCTCGAGTGCTGCTGTTTGTGCCTGCTCCTGATGCTGGAGCTCTCTGCAGAGGGCAGGACTGCTGCTCTATCCTATCAGGGCTCCATCAGCCATCTCTGCATGCAAGGGACAGAGGCTCCTACACAGCAGGGAGTGTGAAGTGGAAGATAAGGAGTCTGGGTTGGGCAAGAGGAAGGGAGCTGCAGCTTTTAAGACAGCCTTTATGCAAGTGGGGGTTTGGCTCTTGCTGTTGGGCATCATGTGGCCTTGCAGGGCAGCCACCAACTTGGGCGCTGCTCTTCACTGCTTGTGTTTGGTTGAGTCTTAATGATGATTTCATTATTCATTGAATTAAGGTTTTAGTCCTTTGGGAAAGCTGACCTTGAGTGACATGCGAGTTAAGCTGTGGCAGGATTCTTGCTTACTTTGTTGATGAGGCAGAGAAAGCTGATGAATATCTTGGGTGTGAGAGAAGGCCAGAAGCAGCCTCTCAGTGAGGCCCTGGCAGGAAGGCACACTTGCTTCACAAAGCTGTGATAACTGATAATACCAGTCAAGCTATGGGATCCAGTAGCTATGACTGATCTCACCTGCCCTTGGCAGTACCAGGTGGCAAAGCTCTCACTGGTTTGCAGCTGTGACCTCCAGGGCCTTCCTGCAGTGCTGTCAGTGTTCCAGAGGCTGGGAGGACTGTAGCACCTCCAAGCAAGATTAATACTCTCTATTCTCTCCATTGCTGCTCCCTAATTTAAAGGGAAGCAAACCTGAAGATGCTCTGGCCTTGCAGAAGAGATCAGGCAAGGGTAGAGAACTTTCACTCCTCACTATACCCTTTGTCATCTGCTTCTCTGCTTGGCAGTAACCACTTTTCCTGAGTGTGGGATCCTGGTGACACTGGGCCTGGTGACACTGGCAGGCTGGGCCTGGAATATCCCTAAGGAAAGAGAGCCAACAGCCTTCTGTTGGATAGCCAATTCCTTTAAGTGCAAGATTGATAAATGCAGAAAATGCCATGGTAACTGGAAATGTGGAAGCAGTCTTATTTCCAGGATTTTTTTTTGGCAGGGGTTTACCTGAAAGACAAAGGATGTTGCATTTGCTCAGAGTTCTCTTTTCCTGCAGCAGGGAGCTCTGATTCCTGCCTTTATTGTTTTACAGTTGGAGCACTTGCTAGAGATTCCACTTAATTTCTCCTGCCTTGTGCTACTAACACTGAGAATGACCTTAGGATTCCTTCAGTGACCATTCCCCAGCTGTCCAGGCTGCTCCAAAGTGCCAGACTTATCACATCAGGCCTGGGAAGAAAGGAAAGAACAAAATATGCAGCTGGCTCCCCTTGCTAAATTGGTGTGGGGGGGGTGTTTGTTCCCCCCCCCTTCTTCTGTGCTACTTTTGCCAGCAGCTTGTCCCTTTGAGCAATGGCAGCCTTGGCTTTGATAGGAGATGAGGATGACATCCCACCATGTGCCTGGAAATCTGCAGCAATCATAGCACAGTTATTTCCACTTGTTACTAGTTGAGGTCTCTGCCTCTGACTAAAATTGGTCTTGCCCATGTCAGGCTTTTTCATAAGCTGCTCTCCAGGTTAGCCAGTGCCCATCAGCCAGTGGAGCTTCTTCCTCCTCTGCTGCCCACATGGAATTCCTTCATTCCAAGGTCAGGAGCAGAGACTCATTTGGCCCTGTTTGCCTTTAACCTGTTCCACTTTTGGTCACTTCCCTGCTGCCTTGTCATTATAATCCCCATTTTGCCCACCTCTCCTGTTCTGTGTCCCATGCATCTGCTGCAGAGCCAAGTGAGTTTGTGGAACAGCGCAGTTCCTGGGACTCTGGGAATGTTTTATTTCATCTGGGGAATTTCCAGCTGCCCTGCTGGTCTGTCTCACTTTGAGGCTGACATTCAGAAGAGCCCATAAGAGAAAGGAAAACTGTTTAAGACTGGACAGTGCAGTGAGTGGCCCCAGAAATGGAATCTGTCCAAGCAAGGAATGAGCTTGTTTCCTGGGACATCTGGCCTCTTGCATGAAGGGGGCAGTCTGCTTGTAGTCAGAGCTGAGCTGCTCCGTAACCACAGCTGCTGAAGCAGTTGGAGTGTTTCTGGCAATGCCTGTACTTCGTCAAGAGAGCATTTAAGGAAGTTGAGTTGCGGAAGTTCACCGAGCCGGGTGCCTCACCAGCACAGCTCCAAGGAGTGGATCCCTCCCGGAGGGACAGTGGGTGTTTCTGCCCCCCAGCACCCCAGCCATCGCCAGCCTTCCTCTGGGTGACCTTGGGTGAGGCTCTGCTTGCCTGGAGAGCTGTTGATTTACAATGCAGATTCAGCGCTCCTCGCCTGCCTGTCCCTGCCCCTCCTAAACTGGGCTGGGATATAAGAGCTTGTTTGCTCTCCGATGCCAACCGTGGCCATGGCAGAACGCCCTGCCACGTGAGAGGCAGAGATAGAGGAGAGGGGGCTAAGGAGGAGTGAATTGTGCAGTTGCTCTTGCTTCTGGTAGCTGAGGAGCACATCTGCAGGACCATGTCTGTGCTGAACCCTGTCCTGCGGCCCACGGAGGTGAAGGAGTACCTGTGCAAGGGCGACCGCTTCATCAAATGGGATGATGTGAGTACTGGGGTGTTCCTTCCCTAGGCTGTGCCTGTGGTGGCAGGGAGACACTGGCTGGGTCACAGTTTGTGGGGAGGCTGGAAGCCTGTGTTCAGTGTGGTATCCCACTTGACAGCAGAGATCTCTGTTCAGGGAGAGGGAACTGGGAAGAACAGGAAGGCTGAGGACTGAAGTTAAGGGGATGTTGTGTGTATGTAAGGGGTTGAGGATACGTTTTCTACACCTCTTGTAGTGGTGGATGGAAACAAATGGAGTGAGTGTGCACTGGGTCTGTGTGTGCAGCCCTCAGGAAGGTGATCGCTGCTGGGAGTCTCTGTGGGGTGAGATGCAAATGCCACATTTGGACTTTCTGGAGGAGCATGAGGGGCAGGATCTACTCCAGAGCAAAAAGCACGCATTGCACTTTGCAGATAGAGATGAAGTCAGGCTCCAAGTTGCTTCCTCTTATGGCCCTGTTGCCTGAGTGGATCGGGGGTGAGCCATGGCCTCCCACGCCTGCCCAGCCCCTGGGTCTGGGAATGACTGAACAGCAAAGGGCCTGTGCTTTAACAGGGCTGAAGCCTCTGAGTGCTGCAGCAAGCTGCTGCTCTCTCCAGCTCATTGTCCTCTACCTTCAAAACAGCTGCTTTGCAGTCACTGCCTTTCTGTGTGAGAAGAAGAAAATGTAGAGCAGCAGCAGATCATTGGAATGTAAGAATTCCCCTCCTCACTTTCTAAGGAGGCAAAGGAGTGCTTACCCCAGCACCCACAAACCTGAGCAGGAGAAGAGCATCTGCCCATCTGTGCTGTATGGAGATGGTCTGTCTGCTGTTGAGCATGAATGTTGATAAAAGGGGAAAAGCCCAGATTATGGGTATTCACAAGGATGTAGGGAGATGGTTCATGGCGTGTTACAGATGAGATGATCAGAAGGAGGCTGCAGCAGCAGTGCAGGAGGGATTAGCACTTTTGTGGGTGTGAAGCTGAAATGGAGTGTTAAGTCCCAAAGGGGCATGTGGGGGAGTGGATCAGATCATCTGTGTGTAACATCAGCGAGGTGGTCCAGCAGCACTGAGAATGAGAGCAGTGTACTGTGCAGCTGGCAGGAAGGACGGATGTGAGGAATATGAGTTGGAATATGGCTGCCGGTTCCCCTGTTAGCAGTACATAAACAGGAGGATGACACTGGGGTACAGTGAAAAGCACAGCCTTCCTCTTTCCTGTGGGCCCACTGCCTGCAGAGTGCACTTGGGGCTTCTTAGAATTTGAAATTTGCTTTCTCAGAATAACAGTAGCCAAACTTGTCTAAAATTTCTGATGACTTTTTGCTCAGTCCTTGGGGACCATTCTCCCAAGAACTGGGATCTGTTAAGTACTTCACTGGGTATTCTTGGGATAGGTTCCCCTGAAAACCAAGGTGAGTCAGTTGGGCTTCCAAGACTCACCAAATGTTTATTTCCTGTTGTAGCAGTTGATTAGTGAGCTCAATTCCCATCTGGATCTTTCCTTAAGGTTTACATATTTGTAAACATTTCTAAGCGGTTGCCTCATAAGTAGTTTACAGGCTTGATCTCCACCAATAAAGAAAGGCTTCTCCATGAGTGGGCTATTCTGGTCACATTGCTCCGTCGCACTGGGCTTTCCCAGTCCATGGTTAGAACAGGCTGCAGAGGATCATGGTGAGAGCTCCAGACTGCAGGATTGCTGTGCTTCAGAATTCATGTGTTGTGGTTTTTGTATCTCTTTCAATTGACATGACTGTACTGTTGGTAACAGTTTTGAACTCGCTCCAGGATAAGTGAGGCAAAGGAGTTAAGGAACATCAGCTTGGGACTGAACTAGGGCCTTCCAGCAAAAAAAGCAAACCCATGCTTTTTCTACAGAGCCCTCACCTTGTCCAGCTTTGGTAAGGCACTGTCTAGAGGTGAGATCAATGGATCCCTGACAGGTTGGACTGTTCTGACCTGTCCGAAGGAGTTAGTTACAGGGCCTTGGGGTAAGGAGCAGCTCTGCAGTGCTTTGTTCAGCATCCAGCAAGCTGGGGCTCCTAAGCAGACTGAAGAGGTGAAGTTCTACTACATGGGTGGCAGCAGAGGTGAAGAACCAGCTGGGATCCCTGTCAGAACCCCAGGCAGGACGCACAACAGTAGCTGACTTCTTGAGCAGGGCAAATGGGTGTGTGTTTGGCTCCGTGCTGCCTCTGAGTCCTCATAGTAGAGTCAAAACTCTTCCTATCTCTGAAAGATTATGGTTTACAGGATTTAGCAGCCCCACAGAATGAGAAGCAGCCAGTTGGCTGCCAGACCATCCTCTGCAGGACTGCTCATTTACTTTGCTGCCAGGAGCTGCCCCATTGGAGAGGCTGCCTGCACTCCCTGGCAGGCCTGGCCCTGCCTAGGAGTCTGGGTGGCAGCAGCTTCCTTGCAGCCTCAGCTTGACCACCAGAAAGCTGCTCTGTGGGAGATGAGGACAATCTAGAACATGGCACAATCCTCTCTGGTGGTACTGTGGGGCCTGTTCTGCTCTCTGTGGACACGTGTGCAGGGAGCCAGCCCAGAGCAATATGGACAAGGTGCTGGCCCTGGCACAGCAGGAGGAAGACAGGAGGCAGTAAAAGGACCACGTATGATGTGCTGTGCAGTGAGCACTTTACTGTAAATATTGCGTATGGAAATGGAGGTCCCTGAATATACAGATACACTCTAGAGTGAAGTATGAGTTCAGTAAAAAACTGAAGAATCTGAGGCCAAGAGACAAGTACAACTTCCAGATTTCATTACTGGTTTCATATTGGCAGTTATATGTTCCAGCTTCCTGAATTGAATCTGGAGTCTTCCCAGAAATGGCTGTGTGGGCTTCAGGATCAGCCCCAAATGATTTCATCTGATTGCAGCCTCTGGTGTGGGTGTCTGCATTGCTGCTTCCTTCAATGGTCAATGTAAAGAAGATCTGTGGAGTTTCAGAATCCCCATCTAAAGCAGCATAATGATGCTGCATTGGTGCATCCCCTCCTTGAAGCTTTCCTGACTAGGAGCCCAGATAATCTGCATGAACACCTGGATGGGAGATGCCATGGATGAATGCTTGTTCTGCTTGGCTTGGGTTACTCCTGAGCTTGTAGAATGAAGCAGGCCAAAGAAGACTTTTCTAATGAAACAATTAATTGAATCTCCAGATACTTTATCTCAGCTCTTTGTATAGAAAACTCCAAGAGAGCTGTTCTTGTCACAGGTGTCACTGTGGAGATGTCCTAAAATCCTTGGGTTCGTTTTCATAAATCCCAGAGGATGTTCACCTGCCTGGGTCTGTATTTCAGCTGGGAACCTCATGTCCCAGGATGTTTTCTCCAAGTCTTCCAAGGTGCCAACATTCTTTCTTTTGTTGTTTTTTTGGTCAGGAAACATCAAATGCTTCTCCTGTGATTCTCCGAGTGGATCCCCAGGGCTTTTACGTGTACTGGACCTATCAGAGCACGGTAAGTGCTGAGACTCTGCAGCTCAGGCTCCAACCAGCCAGGTCAGGTTTGTGTGAGGTGACAACCCTGCAAATGCTCGAGTCCTGCACTTGGGAGCAAACTGCCACATTCATTCCTCTTAGCAGGGACACCCCACTGAGGAGTGGGAGCTGGTCAGTGGCAGGTTGGTCTTCACAGCACCAGGATAGTGCAAGAACTGAAGGTGTGAGTGTGACCTTTCTGTGCCTTTCACGCTTTCACCTTTTTTGACTCCTGCAAAGCTCATTGTGTGTCCTTCAAAGGACTTCATGGAGAACAGTTCCAATATGCCTGTCACCCAGCAAGATACAGGATTCTCCTAACCTGTAGAGTGGGGCCATTAACTGACTCATTGGGGTTTTAGACATTTTTATTAAAAAGTAGTGACCATAGTGTTGTAGGCCTACATGGAGTTTGGAGAGCAAGTTGTGCTCAGGGCTGTGTTCACAGGCTGCTGGAGCAAAGCACAAGATGCCAGCTGTTGGAGGAGAGGGAGAGACAACACATGGAGGAAAGAGAATTCAGTTGCTCAGTGATGAGTACATCAAGTGATGGAGAGGGAGGTGGAAGGCTGGGCTTACTTCCGCTTTCCAGAGCAGGCTGTGGTTCAGCTCTACTTCCTCTGCCTGACCTACATGCCATGGCAGAGTCAGACAGTCCTGCCCTGCCCAAGGACCTGGTGGGTTTGGGTGAGCTCTGCCCTTCCAGAGATTGTGCCCAGTGCCAGCTGGGACTGGGCCCTGCCGCAGCCACATTCCCTGAGAAGTGTCACGGTGCTGGGGACTGTCACACCCTTTGATGTTTCTGCCACTCCTGTTCTGCTTTCGAGGTCCACTCGAGCTGTAGAATATCTGCTCTAAGGGTTCCACCAGAACAAAGTGGAGTATGAAATGAGGCAAGGGGAGCTGGTGTCACCATGGAAAGGGGAAATACTTCATTGGGATACCTGGGAAAGGGACTGGGGGAAGGAAGCATAGCTGCCACGAGGAAAGCCAGACTGGAAAGGGTCTCGCATTCCCGGAAAATACTGTTGGTGAGCAGCTAAAATAAACTGAACTGCTTTTGCACTAGGAACTCAGAAAGGAGCAGGATTAGGAGTAAAATTACTTCCTGCTTAACAATAAAATGGAGATAGAGCCAGAAGACATGGCATCCACATTGTCCTGTAATGTGATCTTGGAAAATAATATTATCTGCTGCAACAAGTATAATTTGTTCTCCAGATCCATGGTGAGAAGAAAAATTAGTAACAGAGGAAGGAAATTCAGGTTGGATATTAAAAGAACAAGCAAGACAGCAAGCCAGTAGTGAGGACACAGAGGGTCTGCCTGGGGAAGGCTGTGCAGTGTCCTCTGTGGGAATGGCTTTCCCCCCTGCCTTGTTCCTGCTGGGACAGCTTTTCCATAGGGAAAGATGCTAAACCAAAGCCAAACCTGATTTACAGCTTCTGGGGGCTCTGTCATGGAGTGCTTTCTTCATTTTTCTTGTCCTTATTCTGTTTGTAGGAAAGAGAAATTCTGGATATCACCAGCATCCGAGACACCCGAGCAGGACGATTTGCCAAAATGCCCAAGGTGAGGCCGTAGCTTCTTTCTGCCCTGTGTTAAAGTGGAAAGGCAGGGCTACCTGATGTTTTGGTGGGCTCAGGCAGTTTGTCCTGGATTTCTGTAGGAAGCAGTTAGAAAGGATCTCCTCTCCTTACATCACTGCTATGTAAATACAGAAAAGCCATCTTGACTCGTCCCTGACCTCCTAGGGGCCCTCTGTGCACCCAAAAGCAGCACTTTCAGACTATGATAGATGGGCTCACTGGACGGAATATGTCAGAAAGCCAGGAAAACAAATTCCCCTTCCAAGTGCCCTGCTTCTCTGTTAAGTCTGCTGGCAACTCTGATGCTCCTGCACTGAGACATCAGAGCTACTCTTGTGTAAGGATGTACAGGGTATCCACAAACCTGGAGTTACAATGCTATTCCAACAGTGTGTGCTGGGTTTTCCCTTTAAAGGGAAGAAAATTCATTTTCAGAAAAACTAATTTGGTTCTTTTTCCTCTCCCATATAGTTTAACCTTTGCACATGATCAGGGTTTTGTTCTTGATTTCAGTTATAATTGAAGCTTCTTAAAGCCCTTGTTAGGACTTTGTTTCTGGGCCTTTTTCTTTGTTTGCTTTTAACTTTTCCATGTATGGAAAAGGCAAGTAGAAAACTGCAGTAAAGCACAAAGGTGGAAAAGGGACTAAAGAAGTAAAGCTGATGCATCATGTGGTGACATAGGTGACTCTCTAAGGCAAAAGGGAAAGGTTTTGCAATATCTCCTGAGCCCCAAGCAGCATTTTGCATAAGTTGTGTGGCTGTTTTCACAACTGCTCTGAACTATTCAGAGCTCCCCAAGACCAGGATTTCTCAAAATACCATAAAAAGGTGGGTGCTAAAGGCACAGTAGAGCTCAAGAACAGTACCCATAATAAAAATCATATTTCCCTCAGAGAAACTGCCTTTCTCCTTATAAGTTCACTAGAATGGAACATACTTCAGTTTTCAATGAGCCTAAAACTTTGTCAGCAAGTTTTGTGGGAATTGTGCTTATAAAATGCTGTCAGAGGTTGGATTTTCATTTGAGAGAATAAAATATTAGGGGCTGTTTGAGTTAGTGCTGCCTTCCAGATGAGACACACTAAGGAAGAGGCTAACTTGAAGGACAGGAATGCGATACTCTTTCTAAGGTATTAAGCTTTGAGGAATAACCTATTGGCAAAATGAATTGATCTTTGATATAGTTAATAAATTGCTGGCGGAAGTACTGAGGCCATGGCTGGATGTCCTGGTGATAACAGGAGGCTGGAGAAACATGTCCTAGATTTTAAGAATTTGTTAAGGAAAACTAATTGGAGAGTACCAGGAGAAGACAGTTTGCCAATGGTACAGAATTATTTGGGGTAATAAAATCATGCTGGTTTGTAGGAAGACCTTGAACTGCTGATTGAATGCTTGATCTAATGAGTGATACATTTTATACAGATAAAAATCAGTCAATGCACACAGAAAAAAATCCTTCTGTAATAACAGGCCCTGAGTTGACTGTTGCTACTCAGGAAACATCGTGGGTGTATGGTAAAATATCAATGTAGTGTTCAGCAGTATTTGCCTCCTAAAAGTAAATTGTATGTTAGGGATTAAAAGGAAATCATTAGGAAGTTGTGTACACCTTAAATGGATACATATTTATGTCAATTCTAGTGTGCTCCCAAATTTGATGAGAACTACCAAAGGTATGGAAGAGCAGCAGGATTAACAAAGGAATGAAGTGGCTGCTGGGGGCGGAGCATCTGAGTAGGAGGGACTGTATTCTGGCAGAAGGAGTAAGATGAATGGGATGTGGAGTGCTGTAATATCAGCAGCTGAATGGAGAAGGGGAGCACAAAGTGCTTACTCAGGGTTTGAAGCAGTTACTCAGGGTTTCTTCTGGTGCAGGATCTCCATATAAGGTGGAATTTTCCAGAGGTAGGAGTGGCACAAGCAGGAGATGCTGCTGCTGCTGTCCCACCTCAAGTCACCATGCCTTTGGTAATGCTTCCTGCACAGTCATGGAAATGTGAGTATAAAAGATCAGTACAAGAAAGAAATGCCCTTAGGGGGTTATTAAATGTGAGATAATGCCTCTGGGTTCGGAAGCTGCTGAATCCTAGATTGCTGGGAGCTGCAGGAATGTGTCAAAGAAGTGCCAGTGAGTATGCCCTGTTCCAGCACTTTTCCCTAGGCACCCTGATGGAGCTGCTCTGTTCTAGCTGTTGTAATAGGCCAGGGATGGGATTTTAAAGCCATGGGAATTGGCTGGAGCTCATTTTTGAAGACCAACGAAGCAAAGGTCAAGCACTGACTGATTTATTAAGTATTCTCAGTAAGCAGAAGTGATGCACTTGATGACAACCTTTGCTGTGAAAATCCCAAGTGCTTTTTGAATTCTGCATTTTACAGAGACTCATTTCAAATAAGTCCCCTTTTTATGTCAGGGAGTTTTCTGGAATTCTGTGGTAACATCTAGTAAAATGCACGAGACTGGCTCCTTATCCATCTTTTCCTCGTGGATCCTGGGAGGCCTTGTGTGGGCACTGAAGGGGTGTTGAACCAAGATGTGCCATCTGGGTCTAGAAAATTGTTATTTACACATAGCTCCGCTATCCTTGATGCCTCTGGCTTAAAGCCCTCAGGGTCATGTTCATTTGGCTGTCCTGAGAGCAGAAATTCACAAAGGAATGCAGAAAGCAGGGAAAAATTCTTCCCATGAACTACCACACCCTCCACGTGGGGCAGCTATGTCTGGGGCGTTGTTACAAAAGGCATTAATATAAAAAACTGGTGTGGTGAAGCAAATAATAACCTGTTTAGAGGTGGAAGGATCAATGTGGGTGCTGTTCTGCCTTATTACAAAATAGTGGCTTTGAATTGTTGCTGAATAGAATTGTTGGAATTAATACCAAGAGTTAATTTGTTTCACTGCCTGAAGGTGGAGAAGAAATAAACCATGGGCCTTATTTAGGACAAGGATTAGGACAAGGAGAGCAGAATCACAGCTGCCGGAAGAACTGTGGATGGCATCAGCAATAAAAGGAGCATTGTTTCCCCTTCCCTGTGAGTGATGCCCCAGTCAATCTGCAGCTGCTCTGAGGCAAAGCTTGTGGCCTGGTTTTCCTGCTAGATTGTGACTGAAGGAAGTCCAGAGGAAGGAGAGAGCTGTATGGAGAGTATCTGTGCCACTGCTTTCCACAGCAAGGGGCTGTGCAAGTTTGGGCCGTAGCTCAAAGATGGAACCTGCCCTGAGTTTTTCAGTCCCAGGGCACTAACAAGTCTCCCTGGGAGGGGGTGGGTCACTGTCGATGTTGGGAGTTCCCTGCTTTCAGTAACACTTTCCCACCACTGCCGAGGAGGAGGTTTGGGGTTTTCCTTTGTAACCTCTACACACAGCAAGAAGAATAACACCAAAACAACCACGTGGCAAACCACTTGAGAAGGGACCTGCTGCCGTGAGCACTGCCAGCACAGGTGACAGCTGGAACCCCATCCGTGGTTAGGGAGCAGTGGTGCCCAGCACAGCGTGGAAAAGGGACTCACTAAGGGCTGCCAGCCACAGGAGCAACCTCCAGATGGAAATGGCCCTCGCCTGCCTTCCCCAGTCCTCGCCTCACCGCAGGGCAGACTCTTCGCTGGCCCCTCCTACGCAGGGCTCCCCTGCTCACCCGCCCCTGCGAGGTTCTTTGAGAGCGGCTTCGCTTTTCTGCCGTGACTTTTCTTCGCGGATTTTTTATTTTTTTTATTTTTTTTTTTTACAAGGGGCAGAGCGAACTTTGGCGTGTGTTCAAGAGAATAATAAAGATAAGAATGAGCAGCGCCTTTGAACAGCGAAGAGAAAAATACTCAAAAGTTATTGACTGTAGTTCAACAGTGTGCCAATAATCTAGGCTGTTATTTACAATCAGGTCTGTGTTTTCTTTTTGGTAATGACAAACAATAAGGGCTGCTCCATTTGTGGGGCTTCTCGTGGTTTCTTTTTTAAGGCACCAAGACCCCGGAATGCTGACAGAGAATCTAATAATAATAAAAGCCAAAATATATGATGTTTTAAGCCAGACTTCTGGGCTATTTGCTATGTCTTGGGATTTGTTTAATGTTTCAGGAGGCATTGGCTTTGAGGCAGGCATATTTTTAATAAAAACAAACATTCTGATTGTCATAATTATAAACCAGATTCATCCTCTGTCCACATTCTGTTGGTGTTGAACCTGGAGATGCAGCCTGAACTGCACATGTACAGGAAGAAAATGATACCAAAGTGTTCCACTCATGTTTTGAGATGATAAAGTTGAAGCCAGTGGGACTGTTCAGGAGCTATGCAGGGCAATCACAGTGCCATCGGAGCTGAGCTGTGGCTGTGAGCCACAGGCTGTAAACACTGTGGGTGGTCAGTGATTCTGCTGCAGAACAGGGGATGAGCAGCTCTGGAATTGGGATTCAGCAACTTGTGAGCCCAGGATGGAGCTGAACTAAGTCTAATTCCAGCCTTCCAACTGGAGAGTGATCATGTGGAGCTATATGGAGACACCAGTCTGTAAGTGTGCAAGAGAGAGGCAGGTACAAGCTTGTGTCTGGCAGAGGATTTATAAATGGTGGAGCAGGAGCAGAGCAAGGAAATGGGCACATGTGAGTGATGACCTTTGCCGTGCTGGGCCCTCCTGCTCTGCCATTGTTGTGCAGTGAGTTCTGGGGCCACGCGTTCTCTTTTGTCTGTGGCAGGGTATCCCTGCTGGATTGCAGAACACCCTAGGCTAATTTGTGCCTGGGAATCTGAGCTGCTGTATTTTCCAGTTCCTTGAGGTAAAACACTGAGGGCTGAGAGTACTTCACTGTGGATTCTTGTCTGCTGGTGTCCCTGAGGTGCTTGGCACAGGGACAGGTTGGCCCTCCCCATTCCACAGGCAATATCTGCAGCATGGAGCAGCAAGGCTGATGGGGACAGGGGTGTTACCTCCAGAGTCAAAGGCATCCCCCAAATATCTTGGGACTTTCTTTTTCCCTTCTGGCAACCAAACATGAGCTCTCCTCTCCCAAAAGAAAAGATTTGTTGTCCTAGTGCCACAAGACACAGCTCTGTCAGAGCACTGTGACACAACAGGCCCTGCAGTCAGTCAGCTCTGCCCCCTTTCAAGCAGAGAAAGGACCATCCCTCTCTGTCCTGTCTCTAACTCTTTGTTTATATTTGCATGAGAATTTGCTTCTCTCTGGACTGTGAATCTCTGTACAGCTGAGAATTTTAGGGAAATCAGGAGGGTTGGATGTGAAACACCAGCTGACTCCATATTTCAGCCACTCCTCTAGTAGTTGTTTTCTGCTTGTCTGGGTTTTTTTAAGGGGATTTGCTAAGTGTTTCCCTTCTGATTTGCATGACTAGTATGCGTGTCCTGCTTTTCATACAGCAATTCCTATTTTTCCTTTATGGCTGCCTGCAAGGTGACCGTGAGTAATCCCAGAGTGAAGCTGTGGCACAAGGCACTAAAGGAGTGTGGGTTGTGAAAGAGCCACAATGTGGATCTGGTTCAGAGCTCCTGCACACAGTCTCTGGTCCTCTCTCCACATTTTCATTGGGTGTTGGATGCACCACTGCCTGGATAAGGGCAAAAGTGCTTGGCTTGCTGGAGACATGAAGACAGAGAGATCTGAAGAGAGCCAGGTGACAAATATCTGCTAGATAGCAGTGTGCCGAGAAGGAAGGGGTGGGAGGAGCCCCGGATAACAAATACAGGAAATGAGTTCAGCACAACCACAAGTTCACTATTGTTTGGGCCTCCCCTCCTGTACAGCGCTGGAGCTGAACAAATGCTGGTGCATTTGCACGTTGAAGTTAAGTCTGGAGTTAAAATCCCAACACTTGGCTGCTGGCACTGGAAAGTTGAGCTCCAACAAGGAGTTGCCACGAGCATGGGAAGATGTGAGTGTTTGGTGATGCTCAGTTCTGTGAAGGAAAATGGTTCATGAGGCAAGAAGGAGCCATTTTAGAAATTCCCTTTGTAGAAAATAGGCAAATCATATTTCTTCCCTCCTTCCAAATAGTCAGGGATTAAACAGGTTTCAGAGTTATCCCCTTGGAGAGGTGCTTTTCCAAAATAAGAGACAGCATCAGATGATCCAGAGTTACAATCCAGCCTGTCCTTTTTTTCTTAAAGATGCCTGTTTGCTACAGATGTGGCAAAATTGCAAATGCTCCAGAAATTAGGAAAATGGAAGTAAAAAAATTCTGCAGTTCCTTATAAAATGTGTATTCAGCTGTGTGTGTGTGACATGGTGCTGAAACCTGAAGGTGTGCTCAGATTCCAGCTTGTTTAACTTCCAAGTCTGACCTGCTCTAACAATCCCAGATTGTGGATTTTGCCCTGCTTCTAAAGGAGCAGGTGCTCAGACAGCTCCCTGTCTGCTTGGACAGGGATTTGTCCTGCACTTCAGATAATGGATTGCTGTGCTTTATTCTAGGAATGGAAATTTTTATCTTCCCATTATAAATAGCACCATCAGTAAAATGCTAGGATACCTTGGATACCTTGTCTTAGTGACACCACGCATAGGAATGCAGAAAATGCTGAATAATTTAAAGAATTCTATAAATACTTTCATATGGTGCTGGAATCCAAGTACCACTAATCGGATGAGCCTTACGCTTAACAAAACAAGTCTCTGGTGAGCCATTGCTGTAGGGTACTGGAATTGCTATGGAAAAAATCCCTACTACCAACTGACAGGAGAAGAAAATGGGGCTTGGAGGAGAAGAAGACAACTTGGAAGTAACGGGGGTCCCAAAAAACGTCTTTCTTGTGGAGGGAGGCTACACATAAGGGTGTCACACTAATACACTTTTTAGTGTGTGTGTTTTGATAAAATCAACTGGATACACACCTCTGGCACAAGCAGGCCAAACACTCCCCTACTTGTTTGCAAGTCCAGCCTGAAGTTCCAGAAGAAATTTCTTTAAGAGCAGTCTCTTGCTTTGACTTTTTCAGACTTGTACAGGGGTTAGTTATGGTGGTTTGTCCCATGGAGGATCCAGTAATGCAGACTCCAGAATAAAGATAAAAAATAAGGAAAGCCAAGTAAAGGAAGATTGCACTAAGCAATTTTGCAACCCTTGAGATGCTTTCTGTGAATTTGGGCCAATGTGTGTATTGGGGTCTGTTTGTTTGGGGTTTTTTTTGGGTACAGTTTTCCCTCATTCTCCAATTACTCCCATCTGTTCTGTTTCTTTTGCAGTCCCTGAAGCTCCGAGAGGTTTTTAACTTGGATTACCCTTACAGCACCTTCCTGCTGAAGAACCTGACAATCGTATCTGGCCCTGACATGGTTGATCTCACTTTCCATAATTTTGTGTCCTACAAGGAGAATATTTGCAAGGTATTGGGGCCTGAGGTCTTGGAAGTACTGGGAACCGCTAAGGATTGGGGCATTCAGTGAGGAGCAGGAAAGGAGAGGGGAGACAGGAGCCTGAGCTCCTTCAGCATTACTGACAAGGTTATAAACAAGCAGGTTTATGTTCCAGTCAGGTGTGGTATCTCCATAGTTCTAGAAGCTTCTGCCCTTGCACAGAGAAGCATCACTATAAGACTTGTCATTGTTGTCTTTCATGTGTTCTGTATGGATGAATAGGCTGCTGAGAAGTGGAAAAGTTTCAGCTCCTAGTGTTTATAGGCAGGAGGAAGGTGATAAAAGTCAAGCCCAGAAGTCTCAGGATAAGGGGTAACAGTTTTAACCTGGAAGCGGGTAGATTTTGATTGGATGTGAGAAGACTTTCTTATGTGTGAGGGTGGGGGGCCCTGGCTCAGGGTTCCCAGTGAAGCTTTGGCTGTCCCATTCCTGGAAGTGTTCAAGGTCAGGTTGGACGGGGCTTGGAGCAACCTGGGATAATGGAATGTGTGGCATGGATGGCAGGATGTGGGACTGGATGGGCTTTAAGGTCCCTTCCAACTCAAACAATTCCAGGATTCTGTGCCCCTTTCCATGTTTGCTGTGTACTTCTTGGAGCAGTTCAATAGAGCCCAACTGCCTCTGCCCTGTTTGTTCCAGGACTGGGCTGAGGATATTATGGCCATTGCCCGGAATCCCCTCACGTACAATGCTCCCCGCTACACCTTCCTCGAGAAAATGTAAGTCCTTTCTGAGAAAATTTTTTCTCTGAAATGTCCATGTCTTGCTCTTTCTGACAGTACTTCAAAATAAGGCTTCAAACATCCAGGTCCCTCCAGATCAAGGCCTGGGGGCTGATGGTCTGTAGGACCCCGATTTTTAGTTCACTATTAGATTGTTTTCCCAAGTATATGTTTTTCCTTCCTTCTCACTTAGTAGGATCTCTTAAGATTGTCCAAATGCATTTTTATAATCTTGTTTAATTTTTTTTTTCACAGTCTAGTGAAGCTGAAGTTGCAACTGAATGAGGACGGAAAGATTCCTGTCCGGAAGTGAGTGTGGATATTTGTTTCATTGTGTGTTCAGTCAGACTACAGGCAGAGCAACTGATGAGAGGATGGTTGTTCAGTGGCTTCAGCCATCTGCTCTTCTGGCACTTAAGAGGCAGAGAACTTTCCCTCTGTGTCGAGGCCATGGAAGTGCACCTGCTGCGGCTAGGTGACACATAATTTGAGTCTGGAAAGGAGATTTTGTGGCCTTCATCTGCAGCAAGAAATGGCTTAAATAGCCACGGATATAACTTCCTGGTTGTTACCATGAAAAATAACAACAAAACAAAGCAACTGTTAAAATTCTGATCACAGATTATTTCTCAAAGCTGAGCTGAAAGGTGAATGAGGTGTAGGATTGTTTCCCTTTCCTGTAAGGAGTTCTCTATATGGAGAGCTCTTTGCTGGGCTCCCCAGCTCACCTGCAGCAGGGCTCCCTTGCTTTTCTTGTCTCCTTTTTCCCCGTGTGACCACTCCAGTCCTTCCCCACTTCCTCCTTCCCTCAGTCTTTGCTCTGGATGTGCATGAGAGCAAAGCAGCATCTGGGCCAGTGTTAGTGCTGGTTTAGGAGCAGAACAGATGGAGATTTGTCCTTCCCTGTCCTCAGCTTGGCCTTGTGCATCAGGTAGGGCTCCATTAGAATGGGAAGCAAAGCCCAGCCTGTCCCTTCTCCCCTGCACTATGTGGCATGAATCTGGAACTGATTTTGTGCCATTCAGTGTCTTCCCAAGAAAATTGCTCCAGGGCTGGTCCTGTGGTTCCTCTGTGTTGATTTAGCTTGTAGAATGACAAAAGGCAGCACTGCCATGTTGAATTCCCTTTTGGGTCCATAAATTACCTTTTGTTTTAAGAATAAGGAACTGCAGACAGTGCATTTGGGAAGTTTTGAACCACTCTGCTCTAGATCTGTGCTGTGTTACAGCATCACAAGAAGTGAGCACTAATTGCCCCAAATAAACACAGGCCCCAGGGTGTGTTGTAAGGCAGAGCTGTGCTGGATTAGGGCTGTGCTGACTAAATGGGCTCCTGGAGGGCTGAGCTTTATTCAACACTAAACATTTTTTGTTATTTGTTTTCTAAACAACCAACCAGCAGAATTTCATTGTCAGAAACCAGAATATTCATCAAAGGGATGTTAAAAATGTGTAGGTCTGTAATGAATAACACACTAGGGAAGAGTGCTTTGAATTAATCTTTAAAATGCAAGCAAGGTAGCATTGCTGCAGGGAGAAACCAGCTTATTCCTCTGAAACAAGCTAGAAAAAAAATATCTGATACAGGATGTACCTCTTCTCAGTGCCCATTTCTTGCAGAATGATAAAAATGCAGAGCATTAAATAGTCCAGATTAAGAACAAGATGTATAAAAATACTCAGTATCTCCAGGTGCAGGTAAACATAAGGTTTTTTAAAGGTCCTGTAAATTCTGAAAATTCCATGAGCATTTGCCTTTCCTTTAAATATGTAAATCTTTTTGGAATCATACCAAGGCTGCTGTAGTTTTGTCTTGCAAAGGACAGGGTTTGCATGAGCTGTTGCAGCCTCTGCCAGGTACTCCCCCCTGGCAGCACAGGGTACACCTTGTTCCCCTGTTTGCTGTGAGCACCTGTGACTCCAGGAGCTTAACAGAACTGAGTCTGGATTTATCCGTGGAGGAGACCATGGTGCTGTTGACAGGGATGTTCTAAAAGTTCAGTTATTGTCATTTCTCCACAGTACCATGGGAAGCACCTCTAAGAGGGGCAGAAAAGGACAGGAGAGGGATTTTGAGTGACAGGGGTCTTACGGAGTCCATAGCAGGAATACAGAACTTTTGCTTTAAATCAGCAGTCAAAAATCCTGTGTAGGTTTATCAAACTCGGTCCCTCAGTCACTCCCCTGGAGAAACACTTTCTGGCTTTGCTGGTTCATGCTTACAGTTGTCTTGCCTGTCTCCCTTGCTGTGCATTTGGAGTGTCCTGCACTGCCTGCAGCTCCAGCTGCCCCACCTCTGTCCTGCCCCATAGTGATGTTTGTTGGCCTGTCTGGTCAGTATTTTTCAGATGTTCCCTGCAGACAAGAAGAGGGTGGAAGAAGCACTAAGTGCTTGTCATCTGCCAAATGGCAAGGTAAGGGTTTCTCTGAGTATCTAGAAGTCTCGTGAGCTTGAGAAGGATCTTTTTCCCTGCCCTGATTGGGATGCCTTTGACTATGAAAAACCATCAGCCAAGATACTTGTAGCTGCTTACCTTACCCTACCACTGCCAGGCCTTAACTCTGGCCTGCTGGCATCAGCTCTTACTGTCTTCCAGTAACACTTGTGACTCCAGCACTTGCACTGTGTGGCACAAGGAGCAGCAACACCCAGTCAGATGTTCCAGTCACTTACTGAGGTTATTGCAGTGAAGTGCTGAGCTGTGGGTGTTCATGACAGGTAAGAGCTGTCACGGGTTTGTGGTGCTGACACATCTTCATTGCATTCTCAGAATGATGCCATCAACCCCGAGGACTTCCCCGAGCCGGTGTATAAGACGTTCCTCATGAATCTGTGTCCACGGCCTGAGATTGATGAGATATTTACCTCACAGTAAGTTTCCCTCAAGCCACAACCCAGAACTTGGTCTCTTGTGACAAAAGATAAGAAGGAGGGGATTTAGTGTTGTGGCGTTTGTCTGGCCTTAAAGCCTTAGAAAGGCAGGATCTCAGGTCACTTAATGCCTTCACTCACAGCCTGAATAAAAAGGATGAGACCTCACTGTGCTACAGGACCCTAAAATATATGGGCCCAGAGGAAGGATCAACCTGAGGAAGGATCAAACTGTCTTATGTGAAAAGATTTCTGGGATAATTCCCAGGCCTTACCTCTGCCCCTCTGTGGTTCTCTCACTGCAGCCATCTAAAAGCAAAGCCCTACATGACCAAAGATCACTTGGCAAAGTTCATCAACAAGAAACAGCGTGACACCCGCCTCAACGACATCCTCTTCCCACCAGCCAAACCTGAGCAGGTGCAGAGCCTGATAGAGAAGTATGAGCCCAGCGGGTTTAACATCCAGAGAGGTGAGTCTTACTCAGCCCAAAGCTCTTGCTATAGAGGTGTGATGACAGAGCAGAAGATCTCATGCCCTCTGCCATGCTGCTTCCCATGGTAGCAGTCAGCCTGATTTCCACAACTCTCTGTTGTTTCCACAACTCTCTTTCTACTTCCAAAGAGGGGTCAGAACCATTTTATTTGGTGACCATTTGGTTGATAGCTTTGTTTGCCGTGCAGGGCAGCTGTCTCCAGAGGGGATGGTCTGGTTCCTCTGTGGCCCCGAGAACAACCTGATAGTGCTGGACAAGCTGATGCTGTACCAGGACATGACTCAGCCACTCTCGCACTACTACATCAATTCCTCACACAACACCTATCTGACAGGTACGGCTGTGCCAGGGCAGGCACGCCCAGGGACCGGGGAGACACAGTCAGCCTGGCAGATGTGTGTGCCCTGGGGGTTTTGAGGGCTGGGCTGACTCTAAATGCTGTGTGACATGAAGCAGTGTTGCCCTGCGACTGAAAAGATCTTGTCAGTCTGCTGCATCGACCTGCTGAAGGCTGGCAGAGACTCCTGTTGCCCCTGTGTGTGCAGGAGCTGTCCTATGTGAGCAGCTACCGCTGAGCCTCTCTCCTGCAGCTGGGCAGTTTTCTGGGACGTCCTCTCCCGAAATGTACCGCCAGACGCTGCTGGCCGGCTGCCGCTGCGTGGAGCTGGACTGCTGGAAGGGCCGGCCCCCGGATGAGGAGCCAATCATCACCCACGGCTTCACCATGACAACTGAGATCCTCTTCAAGGTAGTGAAGAACTTTCTCCATGGATGCTTTCCCCTGCCTGCTTTTAGACTGATTGCTCAGGGAGCCAGATGGCTGAGGATGTTTGAGAGGAAAAGATTGAAGGCGAGGTGACAAGTGAATGAATGTGTGGGTAGAAGGAAAAGTGAACAGATAAGCACTAGGTTGGAGTTTGTACAAATTTGGAATGGGAGGAGTAGGAGAGATGTTGATAGCTGGATGAAAATGGATGGATGGATGGATGGATGGATGGATGGATGGATGGATGGATGGATGGATGGATGGATGGATGAGGGAAATGTAGGAAGTCAGGCAGGAGCCAATGGAGAGATGGCTGAGCAGAGTGTGTGTACACAGGGCTGTGTCACAGGGTGGATGCACAGAACGTGGCATGAGGCTGGTGGATTTAGAGGTAGAGGCACATCAGAGGAGTGAACAGGATGCTTTTAGAAAACACAGTTAAAATTAGTTTATCTTCTGGTCTACATCAGGTTTCTATGGCTAAGAGCCTCAAGTGAAGGCTTTTGGAAGAGCAGGGTTCAATTCCTTCCTAATGACCTGAGTGCTGGAATGTGTTTTGTGGAGCAGCTGGCTTCCCTGAGGATTCAGCCCCCAGCCTTCAGAAGCGCAGCACAAAGCCAGGCAGTACAGGGCATTTATCCACAGCTTGCAAGTTACAATAAAGCCATCACACTGACTTTTTTTTCTGCACTCCTTTACACAGTTGCTGCCAACAGGTAGAGGTGCTTTAGATGTTTTTTCCAGCTCTTTATTTTTCTTCTGTATCTTCCCCCCAGTTCCCACACTTCACTATTACTAAAATATTTATGTGTGAGGGGGAAAAAAAACAACAAACCAAATTAGTTCTTAAGGTCAGAGGTATTGTCCTCAGACTCAGTTATTTCCAAAGCCCTGTGGTATCACTGTTGCTTTTTGCACAGCAGTTCACCACAGATAGAACAGAAATAATAGCATTTGTAGCTGCTGTAATTGCAGAGTTCTACTGAAGCCTGGGACCATTCCTCAAGGAAATTATAACCTGCTAACACAGCATGTGCTGGGTTTTGGTTTTACATAACACTGGTCCTTCCTTCCACTACAACTCCTGTGGCCTTTTAATAGCATTGTCTGAGGCTTCTCCTGAGAGCCTTGAGGCTTCTGTGACAGACTTCCAGTGGTCCATGGAGGAGCAGCTGTGGCAGCCTCCTCCTTGCTGAGGTCATGGCTGATCCAGGGTTTGGGATGATCAGAGGATTGTAATTGCAAAGGAGCAAATGGCACTTCTTTACCAATTAGCAGGACCAGAAGGGAAAATAGTGGAAAGTTTATGGCAGTTTAACAGGGGCTTGGGGAAAATATTATTTTTTCTTACATCATTAATGCTGAGAAGGTTTCCATGGTATTTGCATTTGAAATGTCAGCACAGCTGGTAACTGAGCACTCCAGCTCTCTCTGCTACCAGGCAAAAGGATTTTATAAGTAGCAAAAATGATAGAAAACTGGGCAGGTTCAGAGGTAAGTATGGATAGAGTTTGCAGTGGTTTAATCTGGTGCTGCACACACCTTTCTGTGCCAGTTCAGTGTGCTTGGGGCAGGGGTTTGTCTCTCTGGCCGCACACTTTCACATGCAGTGATGTATACACTGACCTGTGCAGCAAAACCAAAAACTCAGCTTGTTGCATCTTCAGCTTCATTTTGGTGCAAACTGTTGAGTTTAGCTCAGCATGGATCCTCTGGAGCTGGAAATCTGGGCAGGTGTGAAAAAGATTACACTTCTCACCTTCTTAATGGGAGAAGTTTAGTGACTTTGAAAGGAGCTCCTGAGACACAGTTATAGTCTGTTCAGTGGGAGGTCAGCTGTGTCTCTGTTATTAATGACTGCTGAGCTTCTCTCTGACCATGGCCTCTCCTTCAGGATGCCATTGAGGCCATTGCAGAAAGTGCTTTTAAAACATCTCCGTACCCTGTGATCCTGTCCTTTGAGAACCACGTGGACTCGTGAGTATTTGGTGACTGGGAGAATTGTCTGCTGTGTCCACAGCAGAAAATAGACAGGCAAGGGATGCTGGGTTTTAAGTGGGTGCTGAGCTGAAGTCAAGCATTAATTGAGGTTTCTGAAGCAACTGAAGGTGGGTCAGAGCTGAAAGATGAGCCTTAACCTGCAGAGTGGGGTGATCACAGTTGTGCAGCCTTTTACCTTCAGGTTGCAGAGTATGAACATGGGAGTTGGCTTGGGAATGGGACCTTAACATCTGCATAGCTGAGATGGTTTTCTGGGTAGAGGACATGGATCTCGATCTTTTGTTCATGCCAAACTCTGATTTTGGGCATTTGCTTTCCTCTTCACTCCTGCCTGATGTCTCTTAGGCCCAAGCAGCAGGCAAAGATGGCCGAGTACTGCCGAACAATTTTTGGAGACATGCTGCTGACAGAGCCACTGGAGAAATACCCGGTATGAGGGAGCTGGGGCAGGAAGCCACTGGGGAAGCCTTTCTGGAAACCTTGGTTATTCCTGATGTTGGGAGGTGCCACAACAGACACAATGCCATGGACATGGATCCTGGTTCATAAGGATAAGTCTTGTTTAGCACTCTGTCACCTGAGGGGCTCTGGGCACTGAGCTCTGGCTGGCCAGGATGTCCTGAGAGTACCAGGTGTGTTCCGTACACGACACTGGTCCAGCTCTGTCTGCCAGCACTTGGAAACAGGAGCAAAGGCCTAATCCTGCTTCTAGCCTGGAAATATTCCCTTCCAGGTACAGGTGGGTAGGTCAGTGTCAAGTGCTTGGAATAGCTGAGGAAAGGTCCCCCTCTGCTTGACCTCAGTCTTCATCTTACCTGTACAACAGGTATTTCTGTGGTCCCAGTGACACCTTTGGTGACACAACTGCCCTGCCAGGAGACATGGTTTTAAATATGTGAGCAGGATCTGTTTTCTGCAGGGCACAGGGCAGATCCTTGGGGTGCACACAGGAGGGAGAGCTGAGGCTTCTGGCCCAAGCATCTGTTTGAAAGCACTGAGACCCAAAGAAGAGCTGGAAAGAAGCAGTGAGCAGCAGTAGCTGCCCCCTGTCCAGCCCCATGTCCAGGCAATAGGAACAGAGGGATGAGGGGAGGAACAGTTCAAGAGATCAGCTAAGCTATTTACAGGCCTTTGCTGCCTGTGCAGTCTGTCATATGTCCTTGTCTTGAGCCACCTCTTCTGGGATCTTTTTTAAATCTGCTGCAGGCAGTGTTTAAATCTGGCCTTGAGTATTGACAAGGGACTGAGGATCTGGGCTATAATGAGAGAAGTAGGTGGAATGGGAAGCCAGAGGTATGTGGATGCCTTCAGGCCATCTGGGTGTTTTTTTTAGCAGGATGGGTGGCTAGGCAGCATGGCAGAGCAAAATGCTGGTCTGAAACCACAGGTGAAATCTTAGGAAAAATCTGCATTAATCTAGTGGGATGTGCTGGCAAATGGAGGAAATTTGGAGTATAGCGGCTGAGAGATGTGTCTGTGCAGTGGTAATTGGCCAGGGGGACAGGAGAGGTGAGTAGTTGAATTCTGTGATGAAGTTTATCTGTTGCAGCTGAAGCCAGGAGTTCCTCTGCCAAGTCCTAAAGATCTCTTAAGGAAAATCTTGATTAAAAACAAAAAGAACCAATCTATGTCTGGGAAGAGGCAGAACTCTTTGAAGAAAGGGAGGAACATGGAACCAGAAACTGAGCAGCCAACCTCTGTGGATGCTGAAGATACTGGTATGCCTGAAGGGAAGGGGGACTAGTAAAACTGATGGGTAAAGCCTTCTAAATCACTCAATACTTGGTGAACTTGGGACAAGCCAGTACTAGTCATTAAATCAGTTATTCCAAGCAGCAGTAGAAAATTGGAAGAGAAATTAAATCTTCAGAATACTTTGAACACTTAGTCCAACCAAAAGAGATGATCATTTACCTGCCCATCATCCCTTAGTGATCCACTGACACACTGTGGCTTTTGGGTTGAGGGAAGGGGAACAATGTGTTACTGCTTATAGCTCTCTGATAACCACAAATTCACCACAGCTTAGTTCTTCACTGTGAGGGTCTTTGAGGTTCATAAAACCTTCAGCCCCTGCCTCCTCCCTTCCTGTCACCTCCTGGGTTCAGGGCCCCTGTGGTAGAATAGTCCCTGTCATGGTAAGAGCACATGAAGTCATGTGAGGACAAGGTGAGCACCACTGCAGAACACCTGGAAATTTATTCCTGCAAGTATATCTGACCTTGGGGGGGAAACAGCCCAGTGATTGTTGCTCCTGAGTGCGAGGGGAGCCTGCAGCAGGAATGGTTTGGTCTCTTGGGTGTGTTCATCCCCCATGTACCAGTTCATGTTTGATTTGGCCAATAAAATCGTAGGATTCTTCCCCTCAGTGTTTCAGCATTACTCGGTGGTGAGGTTTGGCAGAGCCCTCCACTGCCAGCAGCGTGCAGGTCCTGTTTGTGTCCTCCTGATCCATACCACTGATGAGGGCCTGTGTGCTTAGTCTGGGCAGGTGATGTGGCTGAAGAGGAGCCAGAGGAAGAGGATGAACAGCTCAGAAATCTGGATGAAGAGGAAATTAAAAAGATGCAGTCAGATGAGGTACTGTCACTGTTGGTTCTTCTCCTTTTCTGTTTGGATTTTTGCTGGCTTCCATTTTTCTCTGGGGCATCACCGTATTTGAATAGAGATGAATCCAAAGTGCAAAGGGGAATGAACCCGTGGGGGACTTTCCATCCCCCACACAACAAGAATTTTGCAGTAAAAACTGAAAAGGAGAAATTTTTTTGCAAGCATAAAGAATGTGGCAGAGGAGTTACTGCTGACTGTGCATGATTTGGAGATAACTGTTTGCCTTGGGGGTGTGGGAGAGGCTTAGCCTTGGTCTGAGAAGTTGTTACTGAAAGTGCTGCTGCTGTAGGGGGAGGGAAGGGTTGAGCATTCTCTTGAATAAAAGGTCCATTTCCCATTTCCATCTCCCTGTTATCCTTGGGAGAGGACGATTATCCTGTTTATCCCAGACTCTATGTTCTGAGGGGTCAAAGAGATCCTGGGCTTTGTACATCTTCCCTGGAACCTCTCCATGTGCCTTGATTCCATTTTTGCCCAGCCATCTGGAGATCCTGTGCCCTTGCCCACCATGCTGTAGGACTGGGAAGCCAGAGAAACTGGAGCACTCTGGTCAGGGCAGCCGCCAGAGCTCTGACTGGGAGGCCCCGGTGCAGTTTGTTTCTCTCCAGGGAAGGTCTTTTCATCTGTTTCTTTTTGGATTGTTCTCTGCTCAGGGCACGGCTGGCCTGGAAGTGACAGCGTATGAGGAGATGTCCAGCCTGGTTAACTACATACAGCCCATCAAATTCAACTCCTTCGAGGTCTCTGCCAGTAAGTCAGGCTCAGTCCCTTTGGAATCCAGGCCAAGTGCTTCCTGCCTCCGTCGGTCCCCGTGCAGAACAGGGACTGGGTGTGCCTTGCTCCTAAATGCAATCTCCTGTTTCTAGAGAAGAACCGGAGTTACGTCATCTCTTCCTTCACTGAGACGAAGGCTTGTGATCTACTGAGCAAGTTCCCCATGCAGTTTGTAGAGTATCCTTTGGGCAGCCTTTTTTTCAGTGCCACTGGGTGTTTGGAGTGTGAGGGAGATTCTTGACAGGATGCATCCTGTTGTAGCCAGTGTTAAGGCTGCCAGATGCTTGTCCTTAAGTGAAAACTGTAAGGAGCCTGACCCTCCCTGGGGTCTTGTCTGGAAGGCTCTGAGCATTTGGTAGCAGAGCTCCAACAGTTTTTATAATGGGAATATATGGGCTGGGCCCAGGGCCCAGCAGGAACAGTCATGACTTGTTTCCTATACAGCCTGTAGATACAACAAGTGGCAGATGAGCCGCATTTACCCCAAAGGCACCCGGATGGACTCCTCCAACTACCAGCCCCAGATGTTCTGGAATGTTGGCTGCCAGATGGTGGCACTCAACTTCCAGACCATGGGTGAGTGTCGGGGTGTGCCCCAGCCTCCAAGCAGCGAGCTCAGGTGCTGCTGGTCCCCAGGTGCTCCTGGTCCCTGTCTCTTCCTTTTCTGCCATTTTCCTGGTCATTATTCCATGTGCTTTTTCCCAAAGTGCTGTTCTCCTCTGATTTGATCTCCCACAGACCAACAGCACTTTTCCATGCCCAGCACAGACCCAGCATACACCCACACATACATGTGGACTGCTGTCACCCTGTGTCTGGGCACTGTCCCTGGCTGTCCTGTTCCACAGTGTCACACTGAATCATATCCATGAGGGCACCTGCAGCGCCCATCCCCCAAGGTGCTACCTCTACCAGGCAGAGGCAGAGCTCCATCCAGCCACAGCTCTGACCTGTCTGTGCCACTATTTCCAAGATTTTGACCTGACCGGGGAGGAAAGGCCTTTCCATGCTGCATGACCAGCATAAGAAGAAAAACCTTGAGAGAAAGCTATACCTTACCCCTCTTCCTTTCTCACAGGGCTGTATTAAGTATAGAGCATAGGAGACAAAAGGGAGCAAGTGCAAGGTTGTTTCTGAAGAGGATGACAGTGCAGGTTAGGTGCAGCAGCCACCAGGCAAGTGTTCTGAGTAGTGTCAGACAGAAGATGGACTCAGAGGAGGCCCAAAATGAAGGGGGAAGGAGCAGAGGAGCTTAGACACTTACTTATTCCCACCCAAAAATAGCAGGTGCTCCTTAAAGCAGGTTTTAATTTAGTTCTACCCATGACTTAAGGTGCAAGCGCAAGCAAGCCACTTCCCTTCCTTACAACAGCTGCTGTAATATTTTTCCCTGTAGGGTGCTGAGAGGCTTAATTAGTTTTCAAGATGGCTTTGTGAGCTGTGGGCTGGCAGGGGCTGGAAGCTTCCGGCGGCTTTCAGCTCCCTCATAGCACACAGGCTGCCTGTCCCTCCCAGCCCTGTCTCACTGTGTTGCTCTGCTCTCAGATGTCCCCATGCAGCAGAACATGGCCCTGTTTGAGTTCAATGGGCAGTGTGGGTATCTGCTCAAGCACGAGTTCATGCGGCGCTCCGACAAGCAGTTCGACCCCTTCTCTGTGGACCGCATTGATGGGCTGGTGGCCACTACTGTCTGTGTCACGGCAAGTACAGCCTGGGGACCCTGTCCTTTGTCACCCCGGGGGACTCTCAGTGCCACATGAACTCGTGGAGTCCTGTGGGAAAGTGTTACTGTGGCAACTCCCAGGCTAGTCGCTATTTTAAATTAATCATAATCACATGAAAATAGAAAATGAGCATCTGCCGTGCAGAGGCAGCCAAGGCTGTGCTGGGAGGGAGAGAGGAAGTGCTGAAGCAAGAAACAGAGGTGAAAGTAAAAGAAGAGCTGGAGCAGAAAAGCTTCTTTGGGGTGGGACAGGGACATAAGGGTGAAGGAATGGGTGGGTCCCTCTGTTTTATTCTTCCCAGAATGTGAACTCTGTGTTGTTCACAGGTACTCTCTGGTCAGTTCCTCTCGGACCGCAGTGTGAAGACCTATGTGGAAGTGGAGCTCCTTGGGCTGCCAAGGGATGCCAAGCGCAAGCACAGAACCAAACTGACCTCCACGGCCAACTCCATTAACCCGGTGTGGAAAGAGGAGGCTTTTGTTTTTGAAAAGGTGAGAACATTGGATAGTAATTAAGGCAGAGAATCCTTAAAGCTCCTGATGGCCATGAGCACTGTCTTGGGAGAGGTCAGTGCCAGCAGAAGGGACTTCCCTCTGGAGATCTCAGGCCTGGCTTTATACACTCTCAGGTAATATCCAAACAACATTATCCAAAACAACTCTGCATCAATATTTCCCAGAACAGACATGGATAGCTGGGAGTGGTTCTGGAGATAACAAGCCACCAAAGTCTCCCCTCTATGATGCCCTCTTCAGACCAATCAGTTTGGAAAACTTCCAGCACCAGAAAGGAACTGAGTTTCTGTGGTTAAACTGTCAATAAGAAATAGCCAAACTGGAGCAGTAATGGGACTAGTTTTCAGTTGTGCCAGAACTTGGAAAGCTTCCCTGTCTCTCCCCAGGAATTCAGTGATCACCAGTCCAGCTGCAGGGCACAGGAAACATAAGTCAAGTACACATTATACAGTTCATCTGTCAGGCACAGTATGAAGCTACAGATATTTTCAACCTGTCTGGCTAAAATATCCTCCTTTCAGAAACCTCTGAGGCTTCACTCCTGGCAGAATAATTTTGAGTTCATTTTATGGCACAAGAATACAGGGAAGGAGGGAGTCAAAAGCCTTTATTAGCAATGTTACCATGTTTGCAGAATTATCCATCCCAGTTCATTCCAGTGAGTTCTTCCTGGAAGTAGTGGTTTGGAGGGTTTGTTGTTTTTGTCTTTTGGTAACCTGTGATCCTGGAAAGGCTGAGAAGCCTGTATTGGGTGGAGTTTCTGGGCATTCAGCTATGATGTCTGTGATAAATTGTGCTCCTATATTACAAGATGCAGAAATAGACAGTGCCATCCTAGCAGAGATGGAATTGTTTGGTTGGAAGGAGGAGGATGCTGCTATCAGGAGTTAGAGGTGAGGACACTGGTGTCTTACTCTGCTTTTCCCTTAGATCATGATGCCTGAGTTGGCATCCCTCAAAATTGTGGCTTGGGAAGAAGGAGGGAAGTTCATTGGCCAGCGTATCATTCCCATCATTGCAATGCACCCAGGTAAATCAGTGAAAACTCCTTCAGATTTTGTGCCCTTCACACCTGTCCAGTGGGAGTCATAAAGACGATACAAACAGCTGCATTCTTTGCTCCTTAATCTCCGTGCCCACAGGCAGTAGAACCTTCAAATCCATCTTGTTATAGCCTTGGCTTTATCCCATGATGTACTAACCATGCCCTCCTGTAAAGATGAGCCTTGGGCTGCTGGAGCAGACAGGGAGTGACAGGAAGCCACCAGCTCAACTCCCTCCCCTCTCTGCCCCAGGCTACCACCACGTGTGCCTGCGCAGCGAGAGCAACATGCCGCTCACCATGCCCGCCCTCTTCGTGTTCCTGGAGATCAAGGACTACGTGCCAGATGCTTGGGCAGGTAGGGAGCGCTGGAATGTGTGTGGGGGGTGCTTCTGGCCTCCTCCACGCTCTGATTCAGAAGCATTTTTCCAGCCTGGGAAGTGCTTTCCTGCTGCACCCTCAATTCCTTGTCAGGGTGGGACTTGAGCACATGCCAGCATCCTGTCACGGCCTCGCTGCCTTGGGAATAGCATGGAGGCTCCCACTGCAGCTGTGCCTGGCTCCCACCTGAGGTGCAGTACAGGTGTACCGGGCTCCAGTGTAGAATGGCTCAGCCCTACCCTTGTTTGGAGGCAGGGAGATGTTTCTTTGAGGGAATAGGTGACATCTCTCAGGGGCTGCTGAGAAGAGCGGTTTTAGGGAGGTTTTAGGAGTCATTCTCTTCCCTGTTGGAGGAGAAGGGAGGTTCTTGCTGGTACTGAGATATGGGGACCTTCCTCTGAGAAGGGTCAGAGCTGGACATGACAGAAGCCTCACCAGAGGGATCAACTGTCATGACCAAAACCAGAGTGCAACAGCATCAGCCACAGGAGGTCTTGTGAATACTTCTCATGTTTGCTCTCTCCTCCCCTGTGTTCATACAAATGAACCATATTCACTGGGGAAATCCTGAGGAATTTGGATTATCACATTTTTATTAAAAAGATGAGGTTTATACAACATTGGGCTGGAATTAGAGCAGGGAGCTGTGCACAGCTTAACTTGGCCCTGGCTTTTGGGAGCAGAGTTCCCAAAATCACTTCACTGCCCTGAACGTCAGTTGTGAGCCATGGCCTTGGGCTAGTACTGAGGTGAAGGATGTTCCCTTCCTCCCTCCCTTGTGCTGTCAAGGAGGCTTTGGCTACAGGCAGAGAACACAAACTATTCCTTCTTCACAGTGTCCTGTGCTGGGCAGGGAAAATGAGTCCATGAGTTGTTTGCTATCCAAGCCAAGCCCTGCTCTCTGTTTTCAGACCTCACCATTGCCCTCTCCAACCCCATCAAGTTCTTCAACCTGCAGGACAAGCGCTTGGTGAAGCCCAAGGATACCTCAGGGGAGGTGAGTTTTTCCAGATTCTGTTCTCTAGAGCACCTTGCATGGATTCAGCTTGGAGTTTTCATTTACCTCTGGTCTTTGTTTTAGAGGCCTGGCACACAGACAAACCTCTCATCTGCTGAGACTAACGGGGTGGCATGCTTCACTGGGAAACCAAGTATTCCTCCCTCTAATGGGTCCACAGGTAAGTTTCCAAGGGTTTCCAAGCATTTAATCAGCTTAATTAATTCTTCTGTACTGGCACCAACACCCTTCACACAGGCTGTGTTCTGGTGAGCTCTCCTCTGTCCATTTCCAACCTGGACATCCAAGATGGGACAGTAACAGGAACTTCTTTTGGGATTTCAGGAGCAGCAGTGTTCACCAAGGATGAAGCTGTGTTAGAAGTAATGCAGATGGCAGGTAACTCCTTATGCTGGTCACCTGGGCTGAGGCCCAATGTCATCTTACATTTCCAAATTAAAAAGACATGTCCCAACCCTGCCTGGTATAGCCAGCACTAAAAATAAATCCCAGGAATCTTGGGGCTCCAGAACAGGTTTCCTTCAGCACACCTGCACTCCCTGTGCAACATCTTGGTCACCTGCTTCCAGGTGCCTAAATGCAGTGTGATGTCAATTCCTGCAAACACGAGGCCTAATTGTGCCTCAAAACTGAACTGAAGGCACTTGTTTCACTCAGGATATGTTGGCAAATAACTGTTATGTACATTGCTTTTTTTAGAAGTTATTCCTAAAGAGAAGTGTTCGCTAGGACAGAATATGTACCTGGGGAGAGGCATCCCAAGGTGTGGAACAGAGGGGGCTCTGGTTTGGATGTAGTGATCAAGGGACGTGTGCTGGAGCTGTATGTTCCAGTTGCTCCACTCCAAGCCTTGGGAAGGAGTTGGCACTGTTGAGCCTTTTTATTTTGTGTTTCAGAGCCTGAGACAATCACCCTTGCTGAACTGCAGCAGAAGAAACGCTTCCTGAAGCTGCTGAAGAGGCAAGAGAAGGAGCTGAGGGAGCTGGAATGGAAGGGAAGCAAACAGAGGGAGGAGCTGCTGCAGAAATACTCTGGGCTCTTTTCAGAGCTGGCCTGCCCTGGGGGCAGGAAAAGGACAATACGAACAAGGAAAACACAGAAGAAGAGGTAACCACAGCCTGGGGGTCACCTTCCCAAACCAAAACAAGGATCCCCAGGGAAATGTGGCCTTCCCTTCTCTGCGGGAGGATGGAGCAATGCAGGCACGTGCATGTGCCTGGGTTGTTCTCACTCAGGGCGGGTCAGCATGGCCCCTGTTTGTGTTCTGCAGGAGTGTGACCCCAAGTGATGGTGGTACCAGTGCAAATCCTGTAAAAGCAGCAGAGAGCATCGATTGCCACTGGCTCGTGGAGCTGAGGAAGAGGCTGGAGATGGACCTCATCCACCTTGGGGAGGAGCACCACAATCGGATCCGAAGGAAGAAAGAGCAGCATGCTACCGAGGTGAGGGCTGTGAGTGTCACCTGAAAACATATCCTGGGACAGCCCCAAGAATCCCAAGTTATTCACTCAACTGACCTTGGGAATGTGGGCCCAGAACACACCTGACACATGCATTGTCAAGTCCATGCCAGGTAACTGAGAATGAAAACATTAAGCTTATTTGTTAGAAGCCCTAAAAATCCTGCAGAAGCATTTTTACATGTCTGCTGTTTTTTAAAGCAAGAGTAGCATTGCCCTGGAGCACATCATGCTCCATCTGCTCCAGCTCTTCTGATGCCTTAGCATGGAGTTAATGTAGTGTTTAGTGGCTTCACACCTTGCCAGGTGCCACCTCTCCAGGAGCTTGGGAGCTGGGGTGATGTGGGGGTGAAGGTTCACTAGTGGCACCACCAGAGCGTGTTCTGCTGTTTGACTTGGTGGAAGTCAGAGTCCAGGTGAGGGGAGTCCTGCAGGCTGAGGTCAGCCAAGGCCAGAAGGAATCATGGTGGTGCCTGGGGACAGAGTGCAGGCCATGGGATAGTGGTGATGGTAAATCCAGCACATGCTATCTGTTCCAATGAAAGGGGACTGATTCCAGGCTTGGGAGGCTTTTTCCCTTTAGTGTTTTCTGAAGGAATTTGCACTGATACATCTTAAATCTTCAGTTCCCTGGTGCACCTTAGGCTTGAGATGCTTCTTGCAAGCTTGCAACCCTGAGAGAAAAATAACACTTGGGCACTGGCTCACCTGGGAATCAGATTTCTTACCTGGGAGAGGAGCCAGGGATGAAACCTTCCTGTCTGACAAGTGCAGTCCACTGGCACAGTGGGGCCAGCATGTACAGCTGAGCTCTCTTCTGTGCCAGTGTTTGCTCTGAGCCTTGGGGATTCAGAATTTATTGCTTCTGGAATTCAGTGCAGGGAGGTGTACAGCTGATTTGGATGCAGTGGGATGCAGATGGGGTGTAGTGTCTTATCCTGGTTTGTTCCCTTTTGGTCTTGTGTTCATCCCTTAAACAGCAAGTTGCCAGGATCCTGGAGCTGGCCAGGGAGAAGCAGGCAGCTGAGCTGCGCGTGCTGCGGGACACGTCAGAAAGGTAAATATGGCAGTGGACTCACAAATAATGCCAGGTTCTGCTCTGGGCAGCACTTTCTGCTGGATCTCACAGCTCTGCTCTGCAGCCAGGGAGTGGGGATGGGGAAAAGGTGGCTTTCTTTTCCTTTGGTGAGAAATTGAGGCAAGGGGATGTGACAGGGGATCTCACACAGTGGTTTGGGGGGAAGATGCCTCTTGTGATCCCCAGGACAGTGTTGCTGCCAGGAGGCACCAAGCAGGATACAGTGTTCCATCTGCAGTGAGCAGCCTGGAGCCACTGATGGGGAAGGATAGGAAATACACTGCTGTCACCTCTGTCTCTTGCAGTCAGGACCTCACATTAATCCCTTCCAGGGGCTGATCCACTCTAAGTGAGCATCTTGGCTCCAGTATTTAAACAAACTGGCAGATTCAATTGACCAGTTTCTAGCTAGGCATGTATCCATTTGTTCCTGCGAGAACTTTGTCCTGAAGCTAAAATCCTCACTCATTTCTACTTCCCATTAAATCCTGTCTCAGTCTTTAGTTGCAAATTCATATAAAACTGCCTCTTTTTGTATCCTGTCCCAAGGCAGAGTCTCTTTACTCAGCTATTCAGCATATTCAGGCAAGTCTAAGGAAACAGGTGAATAGCCAGGTAATGGTTTGCTGACAGTAGGATGTCATTAGTACAAGTCACATCTCCGTGGCTAGGAGAAGCTCCAGAAAGATTTCAAGATCTGGAGCAACAGGCAATGAAATGGCAGAAATAAATATAAAATAATCTGAATGGAAAATCCTGGCGATAGCCCATCAGTGCACTGGTGTTGGCTCTCAGGTGAGAGATCTTCACCTGCTGTGGATATTCTTCCATTCCCAGCTCTGTGGTGGCCAAAGTGGCAGAAAGGATTTTGGGAATTGTACAGGGAAACAAAAAAAAAAGATTGAGTCAGCCTCGTGCCACTGGATCCATCTGCATAGAGCTGTCCCCTTCTCAGTGTGCCATCTCAAAGTCTTTGAAAGAACAACAAGAACAGCCAGTACTGGGGAGGAATTTGTGCACAAAAAGGAATTAAATGGGACAGCTAGGAGAACAGATGTGACAGGGAATGTGACAGGAATGTGTAAATCATGAATGGTCTGGAAGAGGGAAGCGATTGCTCACTGTTTCTCATTGGAAAGAAGGGTGGGACATCCAGTGAATGTCTCGGGTGTGTCTGTCACATTGTGTATAAATTAAGTACAGTTCCTCTCATAGCAAAGAGCTGTGAAATCCAAAAGTAAAGGTAAACTGTAAAGTATGAATGACATCATGGAACATGATACATGCATAGATGCTGGAGGATAGACTGGAAACTAGGAAGGTGGAGGAGGGAAAATTTCCCTTACACTTGTTCTTTCTTACACTTGCCTTTAGCATGTGCTGTCTCACTGCTGGGCCAGGACATGTCCTGATTCGGGACTTAAAATATCCTTGAGACGCCAGGCCTCCTGCTGCACAGTCTCCCACATTTGGTGTTTCTGGATAGTGGAGCGCTCCAGAGAGCTGTGGATGGAGGGCTGCTCTGCTGTCTGGTGCTGGTAAACAGGCCTGTATCCCCTCTCTTCTCTCCACAGCAACATTAAAGACATTAAGAAGCGGATGGAGGCAAAGAGAGTGGAGCGGGTCCAGGCCATGCTGAGGAATACCAGTGACAAGGCTGCTCAGGAGAGGTGCGGGGTGGATGTTCCTGGGCTCTGTCCGTGCAGGATGCAGGGTCTCCTGCTGACTTGGAAGATGAAAAAGTAGAATTTTGCATTCAGTTATTTGCCTTATGGCTCAGCCAACTCTGAGTGGTGTTTTGGTGTTTTATTTATCCTTCCTAAAAGTACAGCAGCTTCTCCCTGTGGTAGGACAGGGTGGGAATGTCACACACCTGTTGATCAGTATAATACTGATCAGTACTATATCGGGTTTTAGTACAAATGGGGTTTGATGGAAGGAAAAGAGCTGGATTTTATAGGGTTTTATAATTTTCTTTAAAGGTTGAAGAAAGAAATTAACAATTCCCACATTCAGGAAGTGGTGCAGACAGTCAAACGGGTGAGTTCAGGGGAGTCAGGCTGCCCCAGCAGCTCTGGGTTCTGCCGGGGGGTGACCAGGGGCATTTGTAACCTGTGGCTCCAGAACAACGGGAAAGCTCTGCCCTTTCAAGATCCAGTGCCAGACAAAGCTGAGTCCATATGCATTTGTCAGTGAGTGTCAGCATTTGAGTCCATTTGTCCATCTGTGTCCATGTGTGTGTCTGAGTAGCCACATGTCCAGCTGTATCTGCATGTCTGTCTGAGTCTCTGTGTGTGGGTCTCTGTCCATACCTCTGTATTTTGAGTCCATGTGTCTGTGTTGTGCCCACGTCTGTGTGTTTGGGTCAGTGTCTGTGTTCCTTTGTGTCTGTATGTGTCCCTGTGTCTCACTGTCTGGGTATCTGAATGTGTATGTCCGTGGGTCCAGGTGTCTGCATGCCCACCTGTGTCCATGTATGTCTGTGATCTGCCAGTGTGTCCGTGGGCGCGTTTGTGTGTTTCCATGTACCCCTGTCAGAGATATTTTGTGTCTTTGTGTGTCCATGTATCCCAAGTGTGTGTGTATGGGTGTGTCTGCCTTAGTGTGAGTCTCTCTCCACTTGTGTTCGTGTGTGTGTGTGTGTGTATCCATGTATGTCTGTGTTTATCCGTGTGTGTGTGTCCATGTGTCTCTATATCAAGGAATCCTTGTGTGTGTATCCTTGGGTGTGTATATCCATGTATGCTTATTCATCTGTGTCTGTTCCTGTGACTGGGTGTCTGTCTTTGTGCTGAGTCTATCTGTCCGTGGGTCCAAGTGTGGGTGCGTCTGTGTGCATCTATACATGTCTGGGTGTCTGTCTTTGTGCCAGCCTTTGTCCCTCTGTGTCCCTGCATGTCTGTGTGTCTGTGAGAGTGTGTCCACACTCTATTCCTGTGTGCATGTCCATGTAGGTGTCCATGTATCTGTGCAGATGTATGTTTCTGTGTGTGTGCATGAGCCCATGTCTTTGTGTCCATGTTTGTCTCTCCTTGTGTTCAGGAGTGTCTTTGTGTTGCCTGTGTCCCTGAACGTGTGCATGTGGCTGTGCCAGAAGGGAGGTGTGTGTCCCTGTGTTTGTGTGTCTGCTTGTCTCCACATCCATCTGTGCCTGTGTGTGTCTGTCAATGTTTGTGTTTGCATGTGTGAGTCTGTGTGTCTCTGTATATGTCTGAGTGTCCATCTGTCTGTCCATGTGTGTTCACGTCCAGGTGTCCGTGTCCATCTCCTATGCATGTCCTTCTGTGTGTCCATGTGTTTGTCCATGTCCAGGTGTGTGTGTCTGTGTCCAGGTGTTTTTGTGTGTCCAGGTCTGTGTGTGTCTATGTCTGCATTCTGGTGGGAGTCTCTGTGTATTTCTGCGTGCCTGTGCCTGAGTGTATGTTCATGTCTGTGTCAATGTGTGTCCATGCACCTATGTGTGTCCTTGTGGTGGTCCATGTGCATCTGTTTGTCTGTCCACATCTGTGACCATGTGTCCCTGCCTATGTCCCTGTGCTCAGGTGTGTGTATGTCTGTGTGTCAATGTGGCTGTATCCAGGTGTTTGTATGTCTGCATGTCCCTGCACCTCTGCCTAGGAATGTGTGTGTGTCCACGTCCATGCGTCTGTCCACATGTCTGCATGTCTGTGTCCGTGTCCTTGTATCTCTGTCTATGTTTGTGTCCATGTGTCTGTATCTGTCTGCACGCATCCCTGTTTCTGTATCTGTGTGTCTTTGTCCGTGCCTGTGGCCACGTGTGTGTGTGTCCATGTGTCCACTTGTGTATGTCTGCCTGTGTCAGTGTGTATGTGATTCTGTATCCTTGTCCGTATGTGTCCTGTGTCTGTGTGCGTGGCCCTGTGTGTGTCTGTCCATGCCCATAGTCCGTGTGTCTGCCTGTGTCTGTATGTGTGTTTGTGTTCACATCTGAGTCCATGTTTCTGTGTATGCATCCTCCATCTGTCCATGTGCCAGTCTGTCTGCGTCCTTGTGTCTGTATCCATATGCACATCCATTTATCTGTGTGCTTGTGTGTCTGCATCCATATCTCTCTGCCTATGTGCGTTTCCATGTGTGTGTCTCTGCATGTGTGTCTGTGTCCGTTTGTGTGTTTCTTTGTCTGTATGTCTGTGTCTCTGTGTCTGTATGTTCACATCCAGGGGGTGGATGTGTTGAGGTGTGCATCTGTGCTTCTGTGTCCCTGTCCACTTGTGTGTCCACATCTGTCTGTGAGTCCATGTATCAGCTGGTGTTCATCTCAGAGGCTTGTGCCTCTGTGTGTGCCCATTTGTCTGCCTGCGTATGTCTGTGTATGCATCTGTGTGTCTGCCCATGTTTGTCTGTTTCTGTGTGTCTATCCAAGTGTCTGCCTGTGTGTCCCTGTGTGTCTGCCTTTGTCCATGTATATGCACATGTCTGTGTCTGCATCTGTATCTGTCCATGTATCTCTGTGTCCATCATGTGTCCGTGCCCATGTCCATCTGTCTGCCTCTGTATGTCCGCATCCTTATCCGTCTGTCTCTGCCCATATCTGTCTGCCTGTGTCTGTGTCCCTGTCCTTGTGTGTGTCTGCTTGTGTCCATGTGACCATGTTTGCCTGTCTGTGTATATCAATTTGTCTGCATCCACGTGTCTGCCTGTGTCTATGTGACTGCATTTGTGTGTGTACCCATTTTTGTGTTCATGTCCTGTGTCCATGTGCCTGTGTCCCTACACATGTCTGTGTCCCTCTGTGTGAGTGTGTCCAGCTCTTTGTATCCATCTCCATCAGTGTTGTCATGACTCTGTGTCCATGTCCATCTGTACCTGTGCCTGATTGTCTGCGTGTGAATACATGTATCCCTGTGTCTACATGCCTGTGTGTGTCCAGGTGTCTGTCCTTATGCAAGTCTGTGTATCCATGTATCTGTGTGTGTGTGTGTCCCCTTGTATGTCTGTGTGTCTGTCCCTATGTCCCACGTGCCCATGTGCACTCAACCTGCTGGGCTGTCACAGTGTCCCTGAATCCAGGCTGCTGCTCCTGGCTCACCCTGCTAGGCTGAGCTTGGAGCTGTCCAAAGCCCTTGCTGATAAAACTGGAACCTGAGGGTGATTTATTTTTTTTAAAGGTGACAGAGAAGGCTGGCAGGTTCCAGCAGAAACTGGAGGAGAAGCAGGCAGCAAATCTTCAGTCCATCAAGGAGAGAGAAAGCCAGGTAAGGACAACATTTAGGGTCAGGGCTGTCCCATGGCACAAGAAGTCCAAACCCCCAGAGAATCAATCTTGATGGCCACCCCCAGCCCACCCATTCCCAGGGGGTGCAAAAGTGGATGAGAGAGATCAAACAGACCCCAGAAGGACCTACAGCTCATCCCAGAGCTGCTGGCCTCTCTGCTTGGCTCCCGTGTGTGGGAATGACCTGACTCTCCATTTGCAGCTCCAGCAGCAGGTACGGGTGGAATATGAGGAGAAGTTGAGAGCTCTGAACATGGAGGTTCAGGAGATGGTGAAGAACTACACCAAAGCCAACTTTACTGGAGAGCCACAGACTGGGAAGGAAGCAGGTCAGAGCATTCCTGAGGGAGAACAAAGCTCTACAGACCACCTGGAAGGAAATATCCCAGTGGCAGAGGTGTCCAGGCTTACACTGGCAATGACTGAGCCCTTGGGAGCTGGAATGGATGTGGAGATAGAAGAGAGCATATTCTGAGATGAGGCCCTTCCTTACTGTTCATTGCAAGAAGGTATATAGTGAAGTAACAGCTAGCTTCACAAACTACTGCCATCCTTTTCCATTCTAGGGAGCTCCTGAAATCCTTCAGGAATGTACTACATTATCTCAGATATCTGGAAACAGTCTGGAGAGCTCACCCTTCAGAGTACTTCACCCTCTGTCTTCCCCAGCCTGAGCTCTGAGGTATTTCAGCAGTGGGAAAGGCCCTGTGCCTGCAGACCAACTCCCTGTTGGCACCACAGCAGCAGCTACAGGAATATTTACTTTGCATTCAGAACAGTTTTTAGAGTCAGTTCCCTCATCATTCCTCACATGCATCTCTTCACATCAGTCGGACTCCTCCTAACATCTTCCACACGGTTCAATGAAACAGCAATAAACAAACCTAAACACTGATAAAAAGAGACACCACGGGTGGGGATGGGGGTGGAAGGTGGGCTCAATCACAGCAAACAACACCATGCTGTGAGTCCTTACAAGAAAACAGTTTCACCTGAAGCTGGATTAATAAACAATTACAAATGCTGCTATAAAACAAACCAAACCCCATTGGTATAAGACAGCATGTTCCAAGCCTAGTCTGAACACCCAACAAGAGTCCACATCTCCCCTGTAGTGTCACTAGAGTACTGGAATTATGGATTGTACATTTCTAAGCTATTTATTTTCAAAAAAAAATAAAACATAGCAGTTCTTAACTAACTGGGTCACTTGTTACTTAGCTGCAGTTAGCATGTGTGTGTGTGTGTGTCTGTGACATTGTGTGTGTCCATCTCAATGTCTGTGTCCAGGTGTATGTGTAGCTGTATCATGTCCCTGTGTTCATGTGTGTGTTTACATGTCTAGATATGTATGTGTACACCTGCCTGTCCGTGAGTCTGTGTGTCCACATCCCTGTGTGGTTGTCTGTCCACCTTTCTCTGTCCCTGTGGTGTTTGAGGCCCTTCCTCATAAGAGGACAAACATCCCAGCAAGGTCCAACTGCAGCCAGGGAGTAGCTGGAGATTTTACCTTAAATCCAGAGAGGCTGCACTGGCAGTTCCAAAATGGAGCACAGGCACTGAGCCCTGCATCCTACACCAGTGTGTCACCAGCTTTGGCCACTCAAACCCCTCCAGAGGAGCTTTTTAGAGGTTATTTTAAAGGAAAATTTGTCCCATCTCTCCCTGGAGGGAACTTGGACACCAATGTCAAAACAGAACGTGGGCACAGGTGGCCCCCTTTCCACACACTGTCAAAGTTCCAGGGCTGGGTTTTTCCCTCAGACGCTCTCTGGAAATGAATCCCACAGAGTAAACCTGAGTCAGAAAGATACACATGGAAAGCTAGGACACAACAGCAGGGCCGGGGTTCGCAGTTTTCCTTCCTCCAGGGCCACACCCTAAAGAAGATTCTGTTGCACAGGGACAGTGGCAGGCAGGACGTGCTGTGTCCCTCCACACAGCACGCGACAGGACAAACTCTCCAAGTCAGGTTGGCCAGGTTCAATCTCACAGGCTGCTCCTACCAACAGCACTGGCACAAGCTGTTACACTGGACAACACCGCTACAGTCTCCTTCCCTAAAGCCTGACATAATTCCCAAACAGCTTCACTTTCCAGCCTGGAGATCTCTAATTCCTGCCTTGTGTCAACTGCTTCCCTGGGAGCCATCTGAGAGCCAGCAGAACCCATTGCTCTGCTTTCCTCAAGCTGAGCTCCTCTGTCCCTTCCCCATGCAGAGCATCAGTGCCCCGACAGCTCTGAACAGCATAAAGCCAGAGGCCAAAGCAAGGCCTGACACAGCACCAGAGCAAAATGCTCTGCGGGGGGCTCCTTGAGGCATGGGCATTTCAAAATTGACCAGGGCTCAGCTGGACTATGACACAGGGAACTTCAGCATGTGGAATTCATGGCATTAATGTCCACTGATGTTTGAAACCTGAACAAGGAAGCCCACCACAACTGCTTGTGCCCTTACAACCCCATCATGGTTTCTGCACTGCAACCCTTCTGTTATGGAGCCCAAAACTGGCACAGGGGATTAATGCCAAATTTCATGAAAAACAGCTCCAATCTTTTACACAGATTTCATCTCAGTGCTAAAATACACCTTCTAAATGTAGTTTTCAGTGTGCACACGGAAGCATCACTAAAAGCAAAGACAGCATGAAGCACATGAAGCATAGACCACACTCTGCATCACTCCCTTTCTCCCCAGGGTGCTTCTGAGGCCATGTGTGCCACAGTGCCTCTTACACCTCCCTGTCTGCACAAAATGGGGGAAAGTTCTGCAAGATGGGAAACGGACAAACAAATAATAAATAATAATAAATGAAGGCACTTAATCAAATGTTACTGCAAGTGTTCCCAAGCACACTTTGAACCCGACCATCCCTCCAGCAGCACAATTCAGTCGCAACACGGTTTGGTTACTCACAGAGTCCAGAGGGGAGAGGCCATCTGATTTTCCAGCACTATTTCTTCTTCCCATGGGATTCAGACATCCTTGAGGATTCCTTCCTGTGCAGCCCTGTGTTTTCACTTACCTGCCAAGCACAGGGCAATGTGGTATTTTGCTCAGACAGGCCTCTCATCAGGCCATTACACACAGAACTTCAATTCATTGGCAATTGAGACAATAACATCTAGTCAGACACTGAACAGCAGCAGATTTAGGTTCAATCTCTGATCCTTTCCAAATTTTTAAGTGGCATATTCTAGATCTCATTCTGTGGTCCAAAATATTAAAGTGAGGCCGACCTTTGTACTAGATCGTTAAAAAGTAGATAATGGGGATGTCTAAAGCAGAGGAAGACTCCAACCCCAGCAAGGGACACAAAAAGGAGACACTGTACCTAAAGGATGCCAGTCCTTTTTACCTCCATAACAAAGGTACTGCTGATGTGCCAAAGGCACTCAGAGAAGGAGCTGCTGCACAGTATCTATTCCATTTTAGAGAAACTCTCAGTGCCCCACATATCAAGATTCCCCAAGATTATATAGATTATTACTTGCTATCCCCATTTATACCCTGGTCCCAGGGCACAGCCAGCAGCTCTCCCCAGTCTGCAGGGGAAGGGTGGCACTTGTCTCAAACAAACAATGTCTCAAACCAAACTCAACAATGTCAAATTCAGGAGCCTCATTTGAACCAGGGCCCTTCTATTGCCACCGGTTAAAAAACAGGGGCCTCTAGACAAAGATTTGTTCTGTTCCAAAAGAAATGGGATAATAAGCTGTTGCATCCAACATCAGAGGCATGCTGGAGGAAGGCAGGTACCATTATAGACAAACCAGTGCAATTGAGATGCGACAGCACTGACAGATTCCCTGTTTGATTCAGCAAATTGTTCATATAAATACCGTGTGCCATCTTCAAAGGCCTCCTGGATGCTGATTGCCAGGGCTATGCCAGCAAGGAAAAAGGCTTTATACCAGCAAAGCTGACAGGAAGGAAAATAAAAGGGAAGCATTCGAGGGAAACATGACATAGAACAGTGGCAAACCTGAGAAATGAGTGCACCCTTGTAGAAAAGAAAAGATACTCGGGGAAAACAGCATCTCTGAGCATAATTACCCACTGAATAGGCTCCAAGCCTGTCAGAGAAAGAGGCTACACCTTGTTGTACAATCAGATACATGATTATACATGTATCTGATACACCAAGCATACATGAAATCTCAACCTGAACACTACTGCAATGCAAATTCCAAACCTGCTCTGCATCCTCATTCTCCTGCCTGGTGCCTGGGGAAGGAGCTGTTGGCCCTGGAGATGGAGCTTCAATCTTTCAGCTAATCTAGATTTATCTCAGGATTTATGTTTGATTCCACACTCATCTAAGTAATGGAGCAGTTAATTGGTGCTGTGCCATGCATGAACTGCAAAGAGAGAAACACAAGAAGCAGGAATTAAATTCTACACTGCACAGGAAGATGGATTCTTTCTGCATTCCTCACAAATATGGTAATGAGATTTTAAAATTTTATAAGATACTTGAATGCAATTTTTCCAGGTCCTTCCCTCACAGTGTTTTGTCAGATTTGGGCTAAAGTATAAAATGGTGTTAAATGCTAAACCTGTCATCCCTGTCTCCAAGAAACTTTTGTTTCAGGACTCAGGATCCAGGCTCCTGCCCCAGTCTCCTCTTGTTTTAGAAGCCATATAGCCACAGAACAGGGAGGTTAGAGCAGACTCCAAGGTCCACACTCACATCTCTGAACTACAGACACATTTTTAAGCATCTCAACACAGTAACAGGCTTATGAATAAATCAAGAACTACTTTAATTTAAGACACAAGTGCAAAGGATTCACAACTAAAGACAAGCAGGACTGTTTGTTTCAAATTATAAATTTTTCCAAGTCCTGCTTTCTTTGCATTAAAAAAAAAAAAATCAATATATCTGGAATACAGAAACATTTTACATCAAAAAATTTCCAGTGCAGCTAAGGAGGAGCTTAATGAATTAATTTCAACCAACTCCATCAGCCCAAACTTAGACATCCAGTCTACAGAAACCCCCTATGACCTCTCTACTGGCCATGGGTGAGACTGAGAGAGTGATTTTGTCCTTCAGCAGGTGTGTGAACCAGGGGGATGAACCATCTCTGGAGTTGTTCACCTAGGAGCGTTCCTCTCCCCATGGGCTACAGAGCCAACCTACACATTCCTCAGACTGGGTGCCCACCCTTTGATGGCTGGCAGCAGTGCAGATGAATTCCATCCCAAATTACTTCAAGTAATCAACCATGGCTTCAATTTTGAAGCAGGATCTGTAGCTGGAGCAAATAGCAGAGGACAGAGGTTATAAACATCTTCTGAAGAAAATGCAGTTCTGAGGTCAGTTTCTGAGACAGCAGGACTGTCCTGAGAATAACTAAAAGTCCAAAACCTTGGTATCTGGAGTTTCAAAACAAGATCCCAGCTCCACATCTACGAATATATTCTTGAGACCTCACAACAACACACACCACCATCACTGTACAATGTTAATCCCGACCTAAAGCCCAATTACCTTGAGGATCTTACTAATCAGAGAGTGCAGCATACAAAATACCTAAAACTATGTCAAAATAACTGAAAGACCTGTTTAGACAACCAGAAACCTTCCAGATGTAACGGGCTGATGGGGAAGGGCAGACCAATAGCCAGACAGCAGCACACAAACACAAAAATCAATCCTGGGATACGAAGGATAGCTCAAATATTTCCATTTGGTCTCCTACAGCATCCCCAAAATGCTACCCAGTAACTGCCCCAGGGCAGCACTTCTCAGCCTCTCCAGGGAGAAAGGACTGGAGAAGTAAGCCACAGGAACATGCTGTTCACATTCCAACCAGCACACAAACTGTTACAAATGGTGAATTTTTAACCATAAGATCCTGGTGGTAAGAGCACCTGGTCTTCATAGAGTCCACTTTGAGGACTGTATCCAAGGGTTTTCCCCTCCAAAAGTTTAAAATCATGAAATGGATTCAAGATTGACCACTAAACTATACACATTCTGCAGCAAAAGAGAAGCATGTTGATGCAAGAGAGCCACTTAGAAACAAATATATACATATCACATCTGCTCCCTAAGGAAGTGTGTGCAGGTTTCTAGATCCATATTTAACCAAGGGAAATTAAAATAATCTGTGAAAAGGTCTCAGAGAGAAAAAAAAGTCTTTGTGCATTGAGTTTAAAGGGGTCTGTGCCCCAAAGTGAGTCAGCTCATGGCTCCAGTGCACAATGAAGGAAACAAAGATCACATTTCTAAGTGGGAAATATTGTTCCAGCTCAGTAGTCAGCAGCCCGGGTGTGCAGAAACCCACAGACATTCAGAAACACAACTTCAGACTCCACTTTCGAATGCCATCCTTCAGCAGCAGTGATCCACAAGCCATGGAATACCCGCTTTATCCTTGAGACAGACTTGGTCTCACTTAGATCTAGTCTGTATTGATTGTCTTCAGCAAAGGAGAAGCCACAGAAGGCTGAGGATGCATGGACAGGATTCACATTTGTCCTCCAAAACAATCACTGTCAAGTTCCAAGCACCATTCACAAGTTGAGACTGCCTGGGGTCTTAATTTTTTCTATGTATTTTTTATAAACATTCCTTTTCCCTAGAGTTTCCCCTTATAAACAGTCAGCAGGTGGAGGTGCGCTTCCTGTACTGTTGGATAAGGGGCACCAGGCACTCCGGAAGTCCCGTCTGGAGCAAAAAGGGGTGATCCAGAAGTTCTTGTGCCGTTGCTCTTTCCAATGGATCCCGTGTCAACATCCTTTCCAAGAAGTCTCTCAGAACTGGGGAGGTCTGTGAAAAAGCAACCAACCAAGTCAACCCTGCAAAGGGACCAGGCACAGCTCATGCAACACCAGGCTGCTGAGGTGGGTGTGGTTAAAAGGATCCTGCACATTCCCATCTGTATCCCTGTTTTTCCAGCAATGTGACATGGATCACATGCTTTTCATGCTATGGACATGACTTTCTGTCACTGCTAGGCACAACACTTAGGTTGTTTTCTTTTGAATGGGATACAGTCAATTAAGCTAAGACTGCCTGCCATATCCTTCCATTTGGGTTACTTCTGCTTCCCATTTTGTTACTTAACCTTTCCTGGATTTCAGTTCAAAAACTCAGCAGGGCACATCACTTGAGTGGGAAGGGGGTATCAATCCATTCTTTTACTGGTCACAGATTATGGTAGTTAAGGTTCTAGGTTTGGAGAGCCTGACAAACCCTCATGTTAATGGTACAAGAAGATGAAGAAGCTGCAGCACCAGTACCAAAAAGATTAACAACTTCACAGCTTTGTCCTTTGGAAAAGGTGCAAAAGCCAGCCCCAAGCACATGACCCTGCACATCTCTGGCTGGTTTAATCCTCTGCATCATTAAAATGGAATAAAAAAATGATCTTGGCATATATTTATTTATATTAATGCTGATAATTACAACCAGTTTAGACTGGGGGCATTTTCCCAGCTCTGGTTCCCTTAGCAGATCCTGAAATACTGTTCCCACTGAGATATTGCTCATCTCAGGAGCACTTTGGATGACTTCACTTGGGATTGCCAGAGAAGTCACTGCACAGCTCAGAATGAGTGCCAGGATCCAGGCTGTATGCCTGTCTATAAGTCTGCCCATCCTTTAGCAATGCAGCAGGGATTATCCTAGGTGGCATCCCTTTAACCTGCTGCCCCCAGAACTGCAGTCACTGACCACAGTGAGCCATGAATGGGCACTAGAACGGAGGGCTAGAGCCACAGCTGGAGCTGCACTTCAGCAGGACACTGGGGAGGATGCCCACCAGCCTGTAAATCGGAGGTTTGCTGGAAGCCAGTCTGCTTCCCAGTACAAAGTGGAGCAGAGCAAGACCGTAACCAGCTCTGGCTGTCAGAGCCCATGGCATACCCATGTCACCAAGCAAGGCATGACCCAGACCAGGATGGCTTTATACTGCCCAAGAAGGGCAAGCACCAGATCCAGAATATGACCATGAAATTTTAATTAGTGTTGCAAAAGCAAAGAGGAAAGAACAGCTGTTGATGTTGGAATGTATGCTGTTAGTTCAGCAGTCTACTCTCTTAAATAATTCAGTTTTAGCAGCTGCAGATGCTCTGATTAATTGGAAAGGCTGGGTAGCTCAGGATGTTGCAGAAGCTGTTTGATCTCAGAGGCTGGGCATGGAATGAAAGGAAGACTCCTTTAAGCGGGCACTGAAAGGTGATCACTATTTCTTATGTCACTGCTACTTTTTCCTAAGAAACCATGGAGCCAAGTGCATCTTCTGAGCTACTGCAGTGTCTCCATGAGTTTGCATCTGTCCTGAGCTCTCCTGCTCTGACCATAATGCAGCCTTTGAAGTCCTGAAGGCCATGAAGCTGAAAACTCCCAAGAGCAGGGATCCTCCTGTTCCCTTCCCTGGAAGACAAGCTACTCAATCAATGTGAGTAAGCTGGGAACTGCTGGGTCCACCTGAAGCAGCTCTGACCTGCACGCTCCATTTATGCCCAGGTGCCCTCACACTGCCAGGGCTGTTTCCTAAAGCAGCCACCAGCTGTCAGCAGCAGCTTGTAGCCACTAAGACCCCAAGGCCAAAGCTGTTCCCCAAGAAACATGTCCTAGCAAGACCATTTCCACAGACAGCTGCACTGGGAACAGCTGATACAGATATTTGCCCATGATAACCATCAGGCTTACAAGTGTTTGGCAGCATGCTCACCCTGTGGAAGTTTTTTAGTTTGGGAGGAGGGCTGTCACGGAGTCTCTTCATTGCCTGGACTGGAGAATCACTGAAGTAAGGGGGTTCTCCATCTATCATCTCTATCACCATGATCCCTAGGGACCAGATATCCACCTGTGGGAGACAATGTACATCAATACACACACTCCAGAGGAGCAGGTCCTTGTTTTGTTACTTTCACAAAGACCACAATACCCCACCTGTGACAAATGTTACCAAGAGAGTCCAACACTGATGCCCCTAATGCTTTTGGGCTCCTTACAGGGGTTTAACAAAGTCAATTTTGCACCCAGGACTGAGCCATGCTGATGTTGCAACATGTAAAGGTGTGCAAGTAACTGCTTGTACCTGGCTGGTTGGTAAACAAAACTAGTCAGTCTGCTGCCACCTGCCCAGAACTCCAGAGTTCTCATGTCTGCTTTCCCTAAGGTGAGCCTCGCAGAGCTCACGTTTCGCCCCTATTGCTTTATGGAATTGATTTACTGATCCCTATAATGTCACAGACTGCTCCTTGCTCACATTGGTCCAGAGCAGATACAAGTCTATGCCAAGCTTTACGTGTAAAAATAGAAATTGTTGATGCCTTATTCCTAGAAGCAGAACAATCTCATTTTCTACTGATTTAGGAAATATTGATGTCATCACCATCAAACCTGTAGTCATAGTTGGGTTTATTTTCTAAATAGAATCTAGACACTTCCTAGAAAAGCCAATAGTTATTTTCCCATGACACTTCAGAATATTACTTGCTCTCCTGCTATTAGGGAGGCGGTCCCTTACCTCAGTGGCATATGGTATCCTTGCAATGACTTCTGGAGCCATCCAATAAGGAGTACCCACCAAGGATTTTCTTTTAGGTACATCTTTACTGATCTGAGCACAGAAGCCAAAATCAGAGAGTTTGACCTGTACAAAGAGAAAAAGCAACCAACCTTAAAAAATAAGTCTTAAACAACACAGAGGGAAACACCACAGACAAAGATGACAGAGTAAGAGGACAAGGGGAAAACAAGGGATTTGGACCAGAAAGGAAGTAAGAGACAGAGGTGCAGCAGCAGAAGACAGGAAACAATCTGGCTGAGGAAACACACCCTGCCATCCAGTGTCAGAAGAATGGAGTCGCTCTTGATGTCTCGGTGAATGACCCCCTGAGAGTGGAGATAGGACAGAGCCTGCAGCACCGACTCACACACTGTGGCAATTTGCTCCTCGTTCAGCCTGCAATTAGAGACAGGGGACTTAAACTGTGCAGAGCACAGTGCCCCTTCACAGGGGCACAGGGGTTTAAACACAGACACTTTGGTTCCCTATGACTATCACCATCTCACCTTCACCATTCTTCCATGTCTGTTACTGCGGAAAACATTTTTACTTGATGGTTGACAACTTTTATGTTTTCATAGGTTTAATACCAAGAAATTGTACTTTGAATTCTGTACTTATGTTCATCCTGCAAGATGCTGTTTCAAGCAGTTCTGACAGGCAGCAGTGCTGCTTGATGCCAAGGTGCTGCAGTAACTGGTGAGACAGCTTTTTTTAAGCAAATACAGTAAAGACATTATTCACAAGGCTTATTGTGCAACTGGATCCACAAAACATCCAAATGTGTAATTTGACAAGAACTATAGGGATCCTTTAGGATCCTTTAGGTGTTTCCTGCAGACACTTGGGGTACACTCACACCTAACTAAAGATAGCACAGGCTACAAGCAGGGAAGGCACTACTGATTTCTACCACTGTTAGCACATGGAATATGAGCCCTAAGAACCCCCTCTTTAGAAGCTGTTGCTGTTTAGAATAGCAATACAAAAACCTTCACAACTGAGTGAAAATGATAGAAATGAAAATTCTCTCCTGTACCTGGGGACAGTGACAGCTCTGCATTTTTATGTGGAGCAATGATAGAAAGTAAATAGGCAGTGGCAGTAAATAATTTCAAAGAATAGCTAAAGTACCCAATTTGAGTACTGTGGATTCTCAGCCTGTCTCTAGCAGTTGTTCTGAACAACCCCTGGTTGAGGACAGAAATGAAATGTCCTCAAATTTGGGTCTTCAAGTGAGCCTAAGAAGAGAGCACTCAGAAGGCAGAACTGTGCAGTGACCCAGTACCTTCTAAACCCATAACAATTCCTACACCATCAGCTGAGAAATCTACACTTGTGCTGTTTGTTTGGCATCCCATACCTTACTCTTCCAAACCAGGATAGCTACAAGGTTGTAGCTGCACTGTGCCACACTGATGGCAACTAAATCTGAGTGATGTTAGGGGGCTGCTTCTGCCTTTAAGATTTAACCTGAAAAGGGAGAGGGACAAAGGCTACCTGTGGGACTTCCCAGCACGGAACCCAGTGTTCTCAGGAACAGTGCTTTTCATTTCACAGTGCCTGAGCTGATCCACCTGAAAGCCCTGTGGTTCCAGAAGATCACAAGAGGTGCACTTTCAGCCTGTCATGTATGGAATTTGGTTTCAGTCAAGTGACTGCATAGTGTTAAAACAGATTTCTGGAGGATTACCTCACTCCTGGAGATGTAAATCACTTATCCCCCTCAGCAAATGTTTAATGACTGCAATGATGGTATTTTTCCTTCTTGGGAAAAACTGATAAAGGTTTGCAGCTTACTTACAGCTATAACAGATCCTTCTTCCATCATGAGAAAAAAAAAAAGCATTCACTAACAGGTTCAAAGGAAGCTTCTTAAAACAAATCTAGGCTGAGTCTCACTGGTGGATATAAATACACAGACCCTTCATAAACCTCTTCATCACTTTTTTTTCTGTAATTCAATACTAGCCAAGAGGTACAAGAGTTTCACTGGCCCTGTAAGCTATAACTGAGTACTTCTCAGGATTAAATGTTGGCTTGCAGACCTTGAGATACCTCTGAACTCAATTCTGGAAGGGCCTGCCCAAGTAAGTGTCTCCAGGACACTCCTTCCAGGTGGGGTTGTGGAGGCTATAGAGGACAACGTGGCTCTTGATGCCTATCAAAATTGTGCTTCCAAAACACAGAAGCCAACAGAGCAAGATACATGCCTTAAATCCACCAATCAGAGTAAGATACATGCCTTAAACCCACCACAGGACCTAGGCCAAGCACTACAGGTATACTGTGATTTTTAAAAAACTGAATACAGTTAGTCCTAGAAATATTGCCTAACTGCAATCTAAGGTCCTGAATCTTAAAAAAAAAAAAAAAATAAAAAAAAAAAAAAAAAAAAAAAAAAAAAAAAAAAACCCCAAAAAAAAAAAAAAAAAAAAAAACACAAAAAAAAACCCCAAACAAACAAACAAATAAAACCAAAAAACAAACAATTAAAAAAAAAAAAAAAACCAAAACCTCTCATCCTACAAACTTTCTTGGTCAGTCTTTCCACTGGCATTCCCTGCCCCAGTTTCCAGCCTTGCAGAACTGCTCTGAAGCAGGAGGAGGTGCTCCAGAGTCATGGGTAAGACACAATCACCCTAACTGCATCATCAGAACACCTTCTGAGAGGGACCAGAGGCCATCTGAGAACAACTTCTTTGCCCTACAGAATGCTTTGGGCACTATTGAACATGAAGCAGTGTAGATAAGGAAACAAATTTAGGAGAGTGTCCAGTAGCTGCTATCTTTAGGCAATGAAATTTGGGAAGGAGTCCAGATCTCAAGGCTCTGCTGCACTTTTCCAGAGGAGTTAACGAGGCTGAATTTGTGGCTAAGGTTGCACCACTGAAAACTATTTCTGCATGCTCGTTAATAGCTATTCAATGAAGTTCCTGGCCAGGATTCAACAGATATAGTAAACAACACTTTTTATGAGCACTGTGTTTTACAGGGAAGGTCATCAAGGAAATGACTAGTGGGTTATCTAAAGGGATAAATGAGTCCCTTTTACTTCAGAAGTATCATCAAATATTCAAAATGGATAACAGTTATAAACTGTAGTAGTTTCAGGGCACGGCAAACCCAAGATCTCTGAGGGAATCTATTTGTCCCAGAAATCCCCCCTCTGCTGCTCTTGCTCTCCAATGTTGACGTCTGGGATTTTGCTTTATACCTGATCTGAGACACGATATCTGTGAGGGCTCCTCCCTGCAGGAACTCCATCAGCACCCAGAGCTCCTCTCCCACAAGGTAGCTCTTGTACATCTCCACGACATTGACGTGTTGATAGTCCCTCATTATCACCACCTGTAAAACCACAATGGACACATGACCACCACAAAAATCACTCGCCACACTTCATCTTATCCAACCAAGTGAGCACACACGGCCCTGCAACTACAGCGCAGAGCCTCCATCCCCCCAGCAATAGTGGTTCTTGGTATGAGCATACCACTACTAAAAGGAGGACTATCCTGCTCTTCCCCTTCCTTTTGCCACACTGATTGTTCCAATGAGGACAGCAGAATCTCCATGTTTTCAGCACACTCACCTCATTGAAGAGGAGCTCCCGGCGCTGCTGCTTCCTCAGATCCATCATTTTCACGGCCACCTGGCGCCCTGAGTGCTTCTCCCGAGCGATGCACACAATTCCTGTGGAGCCTTCCCCAATCTTAATGTAATTCTCAAGCAATGTCCTGGGATCTCCCTGGTCCACAACCATCCTGAGGGCAGCTTTGAACTGCTCATGAGTCACAACCACAGGGTCCTCGCTGGCTGGCTGCCCCTTCCCAGCAGAGTCCTGGGGCAGGTGGAGGTTGCTGGAACTGGTCTGGGTCTGCCGGTTCCTGGGGGACCCCGCTGGGGAGGGCCGGCCTGGTGGCACTGCCACAGCCTTCTCTGCTGTTGGGGACTTCTGGGGGGTCCCAGCTTCGGAGATCATCCTGGGGAACTCGGAGGCAGGTTGGTCTGGGGGGAGAGACTGGGCTTTGGCTGCAGGGCTGTGCGGGGAACCCCACTGCTGGGGCTTGAAGAAGGCATTAGGCTTCAAGAAGAACAGAGAGGAAAGCGAGAGAAAAAACAAAGTATGGTTGGATTAACAGAGAGGTGAGGAATCAGTTCTGTGGCATCCCACTCTGCCCTAGCACACCTTGGAGCAGACTGAAAACAAGAGCTTCATTCTTGTCTCCAGGTCTGCCCAACACATGAGCTTGGAAGAAGATCTCCTTAGATGCAGATCTTCAAGAATCCCTTAGGGAAGGGGTGCAACACTTTAACAGCCTCCAAATTGAGGCAGTTTAAAGGGAACATGCTTTAAAAAAAAACGACCAAGACACAAAACCCACAGAAAAAAACCCCAGCTGCTAAAAAGCATTCCAACCTTGCCACCAAAAATCAGGGGCAACCTGTGCTGCAGAGAATTTGAAAATCCTTTATCCCTCCGTGCCTCTGATCTTGCTTTGTATAAAAGGAAAGGGGATTCATGCCAAGGCTGTAAATCACTTTGAAGTCTTGGCTTAATTCCCTTTGGGTAATTACACTCTGCCTACTGAAAACACTCTCTGCACTTTTCAGTGGTATCTGCAGAGCATTCCTGTTGATCAGGCATGGAACTAGCTCTCCACTTCGGGAAAAGCACCAGGCACCAGGACAGCTGGAGGCAGCCAACATGAGACTCCAGCTACACAGAGCCACCTGCCACCTTGCTGGCTTAAAACTGACCTGCAGTGAATTTGGATTAGCAATGCTCGAGGTTTTTGGAGACCTCCCACTCAAATGACAAGCAGGCCCAACCCTATTTAGTGTAGGAGATGTAGTAAGATCACAGCCCATGGGAATGTGGCTTCAGGATATGCATTCCCATGCCAGGAAGGATAAATACTGTCATGCGAATACTCACCCTGGAAATGCTGATTAATTAAAATTCAACATCATTTAGCAGGTGGGGTACAAAATATATTATATAGGTACATATATGTATGTGTAAAATATACAGAGAATATGTATACAAATATATGCAAAAGAATAGTAGATCTGTCAAAGAAGCAACTTCAGAAAGAGCAAACCCATCATTTATATTATAGGGCAAAATTGAAACTTCAAAGCAAAAAGCTTTTTCTCTCTCACAATTCAGAGAGATTATTAATAAAGTTAATAATATGGGCATGGGAACTGAAAACTGCCAATCGAGACTTTTTTATAAGAACATTCATTTTCCTTGTCTCAGACAGGGAATAATTGTGTAGGATTTAATTCTATGCACTTTGGGTTTTAATCAAGGATTTTTGTCAAGAGCAGAATCTGCATAAGCCTCACACACAGAGAGGCCCTGGAAAACACGATTTAGCAGCATCAGGGCACAGCACAAACACAATTGCCTGTCAGGAGGTTCCTTCCTCCCCATACACCAACTCCACCCCTGCAGTCCTGTGCTGACATGCTCACAGCAACATAGAATTTACTTCCTAAATTTTGTTTTGTCTCAGGAGAGAGAAAAAAACCCCACATTTTACATAACTCAGAGCATGCAGAAGGGCACACAGCATGCATGCAAGCTCACACAGGTTTGCTTAACCATGTATAAGTACTGTTTCCTGCTCCTCTAATCTGACAGTCCCCATGTACATGTTTTCTGTCTTGGGACATTTTGAGGTATCACTAGTTCTTTCACTCCTTTCTTTCATAAGGAGGGTGCACTCAAACTTACCATGGTGTTTTTCAAGGCACCACCTTTCCATTTCAGCCAGCTACCCAGTCAGCTGGTAGATTCTCCATCTCTGGAAGTGTTCAAGACCAGGCTGGAGCAGCCTGGTCTAGTGGAAGGTGTCCCTGCCCATGGCAGGGGGTGGAACCCAATGGCCAACCCAAACTGTACCAACCCAAACTAGTCTGGGATTCCATGACTCAGCTATATCCCTGTTCCTTTCATCTGCAATTACACATTTCTTACACATCATCAGCTCTATTAGAGCAGGAATCCCAGGTTTTCATCATCAGAGGCTGGTAAGAACATCTTAGATAAACAACTACTAGGGATGGCACAGATCCTCACTGGAGCAGGAAAACAGACTAGTCTTCAAGGTCTTCCCTACTCCTCTCCTCTGACAAACAGCTGGAGTTTAAACACTCCCAAGCACATTCACTTGGCTGGTAACTTCCAGTCCCACTCCTGGGAGCGCCGGGCATGGCAAAGACACCGAGGAAGACAGAAGTGGCCAGTTCTAGGTACTCAGGGGACAGGCCTCAAAGCAGTGTAGATCAGCCCAGAGGCACTGAGACAGCAGTAAGCACAATCTGCAATACACAAGGACTGCATTCTTTCAAAATCCTCTCCTTTGGCAAGGAACCCCACTGTGCCCAAAGCCTTGAGCCTGGATCCTTATACAAACTGCAAGAAGCTGGACTGGAGACATCTCCCTCCAACACCCTTCAGAACAGTCAGGTTGGTTTGGACAGTGGTTCCTGCATCATCCTCCCATTTCAGGCATTTCACAGCTTTTGGGAATCAGCCTGGCCCAGCACCAGCTTTGAAGCCATCATACAAGCAAGGCAAAGAAGACGGATGCTGGGTCAGCCCAGAATGGAAAAGAAGCAAAGGTTGCATTTCCTATCCAGTACCAGGAACAAGAGATTTTCAGTTTAACAAGAAATGAGTCATTCATTCAGGACAGCTTTCCTGGGGGAGCTGTAGCTATGAGCTGTCCCACCCTCCACAAAATCCAGCAGTCTGACTTCCTGTGTGACAGCACCGTGGGTGCTGATGCAAACCCTGCTGCTGTAGCAAGCCTGGCAGATACAACTATAACCAACACATTCTCCTGAGGTAGTTCTGGTTTGCACAGGCAGACAAATACACTGCTAATGCAAATCGTGGCAATTTCCCAAATGGCAAAGGCTTTTTGGGGCCAGCAGAATGGCATTGCAGTTATGCCTTTACCTCACAGAAGGTAATGACTAAGACCCCTCGTCCTTCCCAGCCCACGCTCCTGCAGCTCCGCCAAACCTTCTGCTGGAGATCTGGCTGCCATCCTGAGCTGTGCCTTGCAGCATCTCGTGAAGCTCAGGCGAACCGCACATTTCCCCTGCTCGGGACTATTTTGATTCCAGCATTAATCATAACAAGAACAGATGGTTGCCCGATGTTTGCAATTAAATTGGCTGCATATGTAACCTCTGGAACTGTAAAGTCAACATTGCAGCCCAGTGAATAACTCCTACCTTGATCTGCAGAGGAGGGCCTGGCTTATTTGAGGTGCTGGTCAAGGGGAACACGCTGCGCAAGAGCCTCCTCTTCAGGCTGTTCTCCCGCGATTTGGAGTTGGGGCTGCCCTCCCCTGAGGGTCTGGCGTTGGGCTGTCGCTGAAGCCAGCCCTCTTCCGGGCTCTTCATTGCCGTCTCGCTCTCCCCCGGCACAGCAGGCACATGCTGCAGCCCAGAGGTGCGCTGCAGACAGCTGCCATCGGCGCCGTGGAACTCCGATGGCCCCAGGGACTGCGCTTTTGTCACCATCCCGTTGGGATGAGACTGCCCGTCCAGGCGGGATTTGTAATCCGGCCACATGGTCTGCCTCCGGGCCACCTTGGACCCACCATTGCAGTTGAGGTAGTTCCCATACTTGTCTGCCCAGTCTCCTTCAGGACTCTGAAGGTACATGTCTGGTGGTCTCTCATCTCCCAGGAGCCCAAGGGACTGGGCTCTCCTCCTGCTGGTGGGGCTCCTGCCCCTCAGAGTGTTCGAGCTGATGGCAGAAAGCTTCTGGATGTCATTGAGCAACCCAGAGATGTAGCCTTCCACTTCCACGGTGCTGCCCCTCACCACGGTCTGGTAAACACAAGGAAGGTGAGAAACAAGTCAGAGTTTTAAGAATCAAGGCTCAATTTGTCTTGCCAAAGGTTAGATTTTGTTAAAATAGCCAAAGACAACTCAAGGAACTCAGGAAAAATGACCAATTTATGTCTTTTGTTTCATTGTCCTTTACTGAGGGAAAGAAAGTCCTTGGGTTACATCCTGCTGTCAGAGCAGCAGTGCTGTCAGCCAGAACAGTCAATTCTGCTGTTGTGCTCACATTCTAAAAGACAATATTAGAGCAAAACTGGGATATTTCAACACTCCTGGCTTTCTTGTGCTGAAACTGTGTGACACTACATACATCACTAACGCACTCGCCAAGCTCCTGAAATATTAGTTCTCAGAAGTTCCAGCATGCTGCAAGCTCCATTTGCAAAACTCATCTTTGCTGTGCCAACACCAGGTTCATCTCTCCCCTGAAGCACTCTCCATAGCATTGTAATCAGCGTCCCTCAGTCTGCTTCTCTACAATTTCTGCTAATACATCCCAATCCTGACCAGTGCAGACCGTGCTGTTCCAACTCTGCCTCCCTGCTCTGCCAAGCTATTATAATTAAAAATTATGAACAAAGGGTCACAGCAGCTCACAACTGCCTTGTAAGCAAACACTGAAGAACAAGGCTTCCATCCAAACAGGCACCAGCTCTGTGCAGTAGGACACTTGAAGCTGTTGGTATATTATATAGTGTTCTACCTTGTTTTTTTTTCTGGAACTGAAAAGCTTACAGAAGCTTTTCTAGTGCTGGGAACCAAAATATTCATTTCTCCACAGAAATTTGCAGCAGAGGATCACTCCTACACTTTCATAAACCTCTGCCTGAGGAAAGTCCTTCCCTGGAGTGACAGCAATCTCCTGTTTGCTAACTGAGCTCCAGGGATCTTCTAAACATGCTGAATTAATTACACTGAGACTAATACTTAGCTGGTGCAACACAGTAGCTCCAGTAATTTCAACAGAACACCACCACAGTGCACAAACGAGTACCTGGTTTTCTCAGTGTCTGAGAATGAAAGGCAGAACAGAAGATTTTTGTTCAACAAGGTGAAGAAAGGACTCACTCCATGGCACACACACATTTCCAGCTGCAGCTGGAAATTCTGGTCTTCACTCCTACTCTCTCACATACCCCCCTTCCTCCACAGCCCAGCTGCTGTCACGGAACAATGTGCTGGGGACATGAACTTTTTGTCCAAAATGGACAAAAGTAATTCCAGAAAGAAATGGGTATTGTCAAAATAAGAAGCCTCCAACAACATGCTACAGCCTCTCCAGAAAATCCAGTGCAGTGCTCTTCTCCCCTTCTAGCTAAAACTCCCTAGAATTAGACTCAGGTCACTCCCAGGAAGTCAGACCTAGCCCCACCAGACAGGAAAGATGGGAGTTAATCTTGCTTTGCTGCTGTGTTTAAGGATTGCATCAGATTAGTGAGGAAACATCCAAATTTGAGCCAAATGTATATGGAGTGCTCTTACATAGCTCATGCCTTACTGACCAAAGCTGAGAAATTACAACATGAAATGCACTTTTTTTATAAGCTACACACAAACCCAGGAACTACTCTGATAATTTAATCCAGGACTATATACAAGGGCTGAGCCAACTAGCACTAATTGCTTGATATCATTGAACAGGAGTTAATTCAGATAGAGTTTACCAGAAACAGTCAGCTTTGTTATGCAGTCTATGAGAGTGTTTGTATTTGGAATTACTGGGAAAAACAGTTTAAGATGATTCTTTAGTTTTTTAAAGCCTGTTGGGTATTCTGTCCTTGTTCTCTTAAGGATTTGCATGTCCTTTCAGCTTTTACCATCCTTGGGTTTAGTAAGTCAGACATGAAAGTCCTGACCAGCATAAGGCTCAGGGCATACTCCAGGAAATTTCTTCACACACATTTGTTTCAACAGTGATGCCTCACTTTTTTGGGCATCCATTGCCTAATACTTAAGGAAACTTGGCTTGCTCTGGAAATGCCATCGGTGCAGTGCCCAGAACCTCACTGAAGCCAGATACAGGGGAGTGCTACCACTTCTCCCTGACCCAAAGCCCCCTACCCTGTGATTAATGAAAATTGGGTTGCTTGATATGATTCTTTTCTTGATAAATCCATATTGGCTGCCAGCTATTACTCGGCTATCTCCTTGGAAGTGGCTGCAAATAGATTACTTGCTTATTTGTTCCAGTCTCTTTCTGGGGATAGAAATTATTCTGACTGATCTGCAATTCCTTGAATTTCATTAGGCCCAGCTGACTTGAAAATATGCAACTTCTTAGCTAAGTCTCATTTCTGTTCCTGTTCTTTTCTTATTCTGGCCTGCATTCTCATCCCTTCCTCCTCATGCTAATTGTCAGCCCACTGATCACACTTAATGAAGATCAGAGAAAAATCATTAAACACATAGGAATTCTTGGTGTCATCTGTTAACATTCTTCCAAAACCAGCAGTGAACAAATTCTTTCCTTCATCCTTCTTCCCCTCTTCATTGCACTCATGATGTGTTCTTAGTGCCCTTTATGTTCTTTGAGAATAACATCTCTTTTTGTGCATTGGCCTTCCAGTTTTGCTCCTACATGAATTTCTTTTCTCTTTGCCCTTTATAACTTGACCTAGTTTCCACCCTTCTGAGCAATCCTCCTGCAGTTTAAGCTCATTACAGAGCTCCTGATCTAACCAAGTTGGTCTCTTATTACACATTTTATCTCTCCACTGGATTGTGCTCCTATACTCTACTACATTCTGAACCTCAAAGCACATTCAGGACACCAGGCAATACCTCCTGCCTTTTTTTTTTTCACCTATTCTTCTTAAGCAAGTTTTTCCCTTATAAATCAGCATTCTGCTCAAAGATCCTGATGAGCCATTTCATTTGCAGGTTTGATTATGTACTGAAGCTTATATTAAACCAAATATAGTCCTCTTTAGTACCTATGCTTTAAACACCTGTACACAAAAAGCTAAATATATTAATCTGATTGCCAACTCTTTTTTATATCGCTCCTAAAACCCAAGTAGCAACATCTCTGTTTTACAACACACCTTTCAGTTCTTAGGCCCCTGAAGGCTTTTGTTTCGTTTTTTTTTTTTTTTTAACTGGGAACAAAAACTTTTCCCAAGCAAGAAAGATTTAAGCACAATATTTCTGTCACCATCTTTCATTTAATTTCCTAAGAGGTCATGAAGCTGCCTTTTCCCACAGCATGTTCCTGCTGTCACTCACACAATCTCCAGATGCCAGTACCAGCAGCCATCTAAACCCACCCATCTACAGGAATCACTTCTTTTTCCTTACTGAAGCACATTTTCCCATTACTATGTCCCACTTTCCATTAAAATGCTGGTTTATTAACCATTTTAGCCCAAACTCTAGTTTAGTCCTTGTGGTACTCAGCTACCCATGAACTGCAAGGCAGTGCTACATTGCTTTCTTTCCCACTTAGGCTTCCCTGGCAACTTAATTACCAGCCAAATTTGCTCACCCACGAGAATGACAAACCTTCTAAAACAGGTCTCTCCACAAATTTTTCTCTTGGCTTTCCTGTACAACAGCTGGTCCTGTCAGCTACCACAGGAGCTTTCACAGGTCCCCATCACTGTGACAGGCAGCCAGATGGTTATTTCAACAGTGACAGCAACAGGTCAGGATCCTACTGTCCTTACTCCTGATGAAGCTACTATCACCTTGGGCTATCAAAGTCTGCTATCTACTGAATTCCATACAGACACCACCCTTAGTCCCATTTATGGGGCACCAGAAACAGTGCCTCAACTTGGAGGCAACTCCCCGAGGAACAGGAAAGAACTGTCTCCCTCCCTCACCTTCATAGGCTGGAGCTGCATCCTTGTGATTCTTGAAGGGTCTACCACAGGCTTGGGGCGCCTCAGCGTGTCCAGAATATTCTGCCATTGAGGTGGCAGGCCCACAAATTTGCCCTCCTTTGGGTCAAATGAGGTGTGGACACGGTGCTCAAAGTTCTGTGGGGCCGAGATCTCCGGGCGTTTCTTCTTCTTCTTACGGAACATGATGCCTGAAGGGGAGAAACAACACTGTCAGTGCCTATCTAGGACTGAAGTGCCCAAGTAGTAAAATCAGGTATTAATTCTATGATTTAATTATGTTGTATTGAGAACATTTTCCAGTGAAAAGCATTCTACCAGGGGTTGATCACCTGCTTTTATAGATGAGGAAACAGGCACCAAGACAGTGATGATTTTGCCCAAGGCCACCTTGCAGGTTCATGGCTCAGATGGAATTTCTAGTGACTTCCTTTATTTTTACAAATTCATATTTACTGATAAAACTATTTAAAAAGTAATTAAGAGATACATATTTATATTTTACCCGCTCATACATACATTAAATGGCTTTGGAGTCCAGCCCGTTAGACAGCATCAATTCCACCACAAGCCTGAAATTTAAGGTGGCAATGAACAGGGCTCAAGTTGTCTTCTCACTGCTTACTCCAAGTAAGTAATAGCCACTTGGTTCCCATTTAAAGACAGCAGAGCTGTTGCCAAAGGAAGAGCTGCCAGAGACTGACTTTGGATCTCAGTTTTTCTTGTTTAGACAGAGGGCTCGGGAGGGAGAGAGGAGGTGGTAGGTGGAAATCAAACTCTGTCAGCAGGTAGCTGAAGAAGCTAAAATTAAAAACTAAGATCCTTTTCCCTTGGGGGCTTGAGAGAGACAGCTTGTGTGAACAGCCAGTGCAAGTGCAATAAGCCAGAAGCACCTAACACTGAAATATACCCAAACACAGGAGACTTCAAAATCTGAATTATGAATTTATAAACAAATTTATAACCAAAAAAGATACTTAGAAAGCTCAGAGATTGGACCTTTCTGAAATTGGGAAGATATGAAGGAAAAGGAAGAACCAGAGTTCTGCATGCAGACAAGAGGTGGGAAAGCTGGAGGACTGCAGTGGATTGACACAACCTCTTCACAAAAACCAGATAGGGAAGATAGGGTGAGGTAAGGGGAGCCAAGTTTTTCACAGTGGGGAGGGGTGGGAGTGAGAGACAGGCATAAATCAAAACAGGAGTGGTCCTATGAGCATAGAAGGAAAAGCTTTCCTGTGACCAGGAGAGTCCAACATCGGAGCAGCCTGTCCAGACAGGCTGGGCAGGCTCCATCCTCAGGGGTTTGATCTCAAAGCCAAAGCCCTGAGTAATCCAGCCTGACCCTCCAAGCTGACCCTGCCTTAATCAGGGGGGTTGGGCTACACCTTTCAATGTCTCTTTCCCCTGAAATGTTCTTTGACTCTATTCACTGCTTTAGAAAAAAGCTGCACCGTTTTTTAAAAGCAATTAATATCTGCCAATAAACAAAAATAATATTTATATGCTCTTCCTTTTCCACAGACAACATTTTTATTGGCATTTGCCTCTCACTGACACTTGCTTACAGCCATGAATGCCATCTCTTCCCTGACATCAGGCTGAGGATTTTTGCCACTTAATCTTCAACTTTGTAGTAGTCACTCTTCCCCTGTACAGGACCTCAGCTTACAACTATTTGTGCTGAATAAATATTTACAAGGGTCAGAGAGACAGACCGCATAGAGAGATAACCTGCTGTGGTGTAGACATGAACACACTTCTAGAGGACACCAGTCCCCAAAATCAGCACATCACAGTGAAATCTGTGTCAAACATTTTCCAGGTTGTCCCACTCTAAACTTGTTTAGGGGGCAAAGTGCAGCCACCACCTGAACAATGACTTTGCTCCCTGGTGCTAGACTGGGGTCTTGAAAATCCAATACACAATGCCTCCCAGTTTGGTTACAATGATCCTGCAAGTCACAGGGATAAGGAAGTGTTTGTACAGCAGAGAAGGACCTTTGCTCCATCTAACCCCCCATTCATGCAATCCATCCTTGGTGAAACACCAACTTCACATGCACTGTCCATTTCAACAGCCTACTGAAGATACCTCACAGATGAAAAAGAAACCAAAAGGTTAGGAAAGAGAAAAAAAAAAAGCTTACAAAAGAGGTTAGAAGCAACTGCTCTGCCTAGAAGAGATTTTTCAGCCAGAATAATCTTTGCTTAGAACAAGTCCAATGAAAACCCAAATACATCTTAACGGAGAGCTTATGGGAAGGGTGTCTGTGCTCCAGGTCTGTATTGCAGCTCCTCAAACACAGTGATTCATCTCTCAGGCCCCTTAGGTGCTGCTTATTAACTAATAATCAAGACTAAAGTCAGAGGGCAATTCTTTAAAGAAAAAAAAGTGCAGACAATCCCAGGAAGGAAAGATACTCTAATAGCTCGTGGTGTTAGTAGTGCTCAAACCAACAGCTGGAGCTGCTGAGGAGCTTGAGAGCCTCCAAGGAAAGCAGGGAGTATCTCTGTAGTATTACAGCAAGCAGTTCAGTTCTGAATCCTTGACTACACGTGAGTTGTGAGCCCTCCTTGATCCACCTTGACCCAGCCACAGCAATCACAGTGATCTCACTATTTCAACTAGTACCTCCACTTCTGCTCCTACTCTCACAGCTTCATAATGAGAAGATACCCAGGACACAGCAGTCTTAAGTTTGCTTTTTTAGTGCTTCATGTGGCAAAGGGTCCTGTAATACAGGGTGTTACAAATGCCACAATTATTAGCACTTGTAGCATCAATGGTTTTCTGAACATGTCAGGTATTTCCCCATAACAAGAATGTTTCTGGCTTAAGTATTTCAAAATGCAAAAATTTAAAACTCAGGTGATATTTTGGCCCCAGCCAAAACGGTGGCTCTATTTCACCATCTCAGTTTGCAGAAGCATAAACACAACACTACATTTGTATATTTACATAAAATCCCTATCCCTGACAATCAACATGTGTACTACAGTTGGATCCCATACCCAAAAGCATGCTTCCAAAACCCAAAAAGGAGTACCTACTGAGTTCATGGTCAGTTTTAAGTGTTGGTTGGCATGGCCTGCATCTACCTTATTGGCTTAAAACAGACAGCTTAAAAACAACAAAATGTAATCAGTTCCAAATACAACACACCCCTGGGTATCCAATGGTATTTGCTTTACATGGTCAGCATCAATCCTGGATTATAGAGAGATCAGACAGGTGGTTTAAAGGTAAATTGCATTAAGATCAAATGAAATACATATACACTAAAAATAGTTATTTGAAATCCAATGAAATCTCATTGAGGAGGTCTGTATTTAACCAGTCTCCTTTCACTTTGTGGTTTTCATGCAAGATCTATTTACTTGTATTTCCAAAACCCAGCTAAAGAATGTTTATTGTTAAATAAAACACATAAAACCAGGCCTTTTCTAAGTCAGTGAGAAATTCATAAGAACATTTTATGCATATAAGATTTTTTAAATCAAGCCAAACCTGTATTTAAACATAGACAGCATCCCTTTAATATAACAACACAAATACTGTGGCACTGATTTTATAATAATCTACTAGACTTTAGTCTTTCATTCAGTGCTGACAACTGTACTGTAAGAAATGTCACAAACATAAATAATAAAAGTCACTACCACAAGACAAAAGCAGTCGGAGATTGAAATTCTCTCAGCGATCCATTCCTGCTGCCTGGGAAACCACGTTAGGTTTTTCAACTCCAGATATAGCTGTTCCTAGATGATACAGTTCCAAAAGCTGTCACATCTGCCAGTGAGCACGAGAAAAAATCCCACAGCCAGCAGATCCAGAGCAGGGGGAGGGATCAACTGGGAAGGAGGGGCAAGAAGAGAGAGGGGTCAGCCTCAGATGAGAGGAAGGGGTGGGAGGATTAAGGATGGTAGGGGAATGAGTGTTAGTAAGGAAGAGAGGAATGGTTGGGAGACAGGCAACCCGAGGAGGAGGGCGCAGAAAAGAAGCAACATCACCCGGAGGGAAAAAAAAAAAAAAGGAAAAAAAAAAAAAAAAGTAGATAAATGTTATCAGGAGTGGCTTGTTCCAACGCCCAGACAAAGGCAGCAGCATGCACTGCCTTTTCACCCGACCTGCCTCCACCGTGCTCACGTCCAGCCACACGTTCCACTAGGACACCGTGCCGTACGGACCCGTGCTCATACCCTCCCTCACTCACACATGCACTTGATGATAGCACGGCAGCACAGAGCTACTTCAGTCTCACTTGTGCAGTTTCCAGTTAAAAATAAGCTCTCCCTCCCCCCCTCTTTGCTGCAGCACTGAACTCGCTCATCAGCTCATTGCGTCTCTATCGCAGATCTGGACGCAGTTCCTTACATTCCTCCTGCCCCGGACAAAGATAACACTTGGTCCCTGGGCTCAAGAAAGCCATTCCCATAATTTCCAAGTCCTCCCACAGCTGATCTGCCAAACTGCTCTGGCCAGCTCCAAGAGGAAAGGGAGAGAAGGAGAACTCTTCCTACAGGACCTGAGGAACTGCAATATGCAGATTGAGTTTGCAGTAGGAAGATGAAGATCCCAGAGAACACACCAATTAAAAGGAAAAATGTATTTCCATATTCTGCTACTCAGGTCACTGTCATGTGCTGCATTGGAAATGGATTACAGGTTAACTAGGCCATTATCTGTGCATGTCATATGCATGTGTTCACACAAATGTATGTGTGAATATGCACACATGGAATTTCACTGCATCCCATACCTTCTAAAATAGTCATGTTTGTCTTCCTGAGGTTTCCAGCACTCTTAGTATTTATAGCAAGCTATAAACTATCATAGCCGTTTCCAAATAAAGGGAAATGACAGGTTAGGTCCCTGAAGAGCTGACAAACCCAAGTGTGACTTCACACAGCAAGGAATGGCAACAAGGGTCAGTGAAAGGGAAAAAGAAAAGCCAAACAGTACAAAATCTGAAACAGGATCTAAGAGTACTGCCCTGACACCTTCTACAGTTGTCTGCAATTCTAGTTTTAGAAATACTGGTTGAAGTACTTTTTTCCCTCCTAAAGGAAGACTGGCTATCTTCTTACTGTGCTATCCCTTTCCTCATTTCAAGTCCTTCCCTTCTATTCCTTTCTCCCTCACCAGCCCCCCATGGCAAAGCTGCGTGTTGGAGCAAAGCAACAGCACAGCAAACTGATGTAATGCTCTAAATCCTGCCCAAACACACACGAGAACACAGATTAATATTACATTAGAAATAAGCTTAGGAAGAGACATATTTGTTATATTGGTGGGTTTATTTCTGAGGAATGAGAAGAACAGCACAACTGGCTTGACATTTTTTGCAGTGCCTCCACTGAACAGGGTCTGAAGGATTTGAAGCTCTCTCTCCCTTGCTCCATTTCCATGCTCATAAATTAGGACTAAAACCCAGTGAACGCCTATTTGCTCAGCTTGTTTGGGACGCTGCTGGGTTGCATACTTTTAGATATGTTTTAGTTACACTATACCAAATTCATTCTGGGACATATATAAAAGCACTTGCAAAGAAAAGACCTCTTGAACTTTCCAAAACCAGCACAGGCATGTCCCAAATGCTAATGGGTTTATCCTTTGACAAATAACAAAGTTTTCCATTATTTACAGTCCCCTAGAAATCCCAGCTGAAGTCACCATCCCATTGTGTCTGTCTCTGAAGTCAGGCCCCACCCTCTAGAGGTTTCATCTAAACAGACTAAAGGTGAAGAAAGGGAATTATTATCCTCATTTACAGATGAGACAAAAAAAATTACTAGCCCTTTTTCTTCCCACCTATGTGTAGATTAGCAGATCTATGTCTCCCAAGTATGTCTCCTGGCTGCTTTTTAACTTTATATCAAGGCCAGATCCGGGCCCAACACACCCTGGCTTCCATAGAGAGAAAACATGGGTGCAGGGCCCCAGTGGAGGCCAAGACACACACTGACCACAGGATTGATCTGGACATCAGCACATGGGTCCAGAAGCCTTGACAGGACTAAGCTGAACAGACAGAAAACACACCCAAACCTCAGCTGCAGTCCAGGGCCTTCATTACAAGACCAGCTTTTCCCCCTTGGGCTCAGTGTGTGTGAGAGGGTACAGCCACCAAACGCTGCTGCAGCACCAAGGAAGGCAGCTCACTCATCGTGCCCTTGGCACACAGAGCCAACAGGATGTGTGCTGCAGGTCACCAGGCTGACACCAAAGCCACAGCAACTCTGACCCTTTTCTCCCACCTTTTACATGATTCATGTGGCTCGTGTCCTGTTCTGACTATACCAAACCATGCTGTGCTGCACCTTTGACACTCACCTCACACCCACACCCCTCCCTGACCCCTGTCCAAAGAGCACCTGCATTGTTCCACATGGATTTCCCAACATTATTTTGCCATGAAGGATGCATCAGGGTTAAAAACAGGTTGCTGTATTTTGCTGTTAATCCAAAGCACCAGAGAACTTCAAGACAGGGCTTGACAGATTCAGGGCTTCACTCTCCACTGTCTTATGTGACAAATCCATTCAAAATCAGCATAAAAGCACTACTGATATTAGATTAAGAACCTTTAAGGTCCTTTCTCCAAAAATTCACATGAATAGCAACATCTTACATATCAGACAAGAGGTTACACTGGGACAAGCCAAGGAGCCACATCTGGCGTGTGGGGTCACATGGCAGAAGAAGGAGCCAAAGCACTGGGCTGCAACACTGGGCACCACGTCCTGCGGCTCCATGTAAGCCATGGAACCTCAGCGCGCTCTTGCACGGCTCGCAGATCCAGCTGCCTCTGGCACGCAGGGTTACGAGGGGGAAGCTGCAGCAAATGTGCAAATAGGCACAGCACAGATTTTACTGTATGCAGGCAGAGTCATACACTCAGGGAGCAGGGCTGAATTCTCACAAGCAAATCTATCCCAGCAGACGCACTGGTGACCACTGTCATGGATCACCATACTTGCTCCAGTAGCACAGCAAAAGGCTGACAGAGACACCCCACCAATCCCCCAAATCACCTAAGTATAGAGATGCAAGAGTTAAACTTCCTCCCAGCCAACAGTAAACAATCTCAGTCCCTAGTTATGCTCATCATGTTCTCCCAAAGAGAGACACAAATATATTTAATTGCTGTCAGCAGCCTGCAAGACAGTTTGCTTGTGTTAATCCCACAGGATAACTGATGAGAAAACTCCAGCCCAAGCAGTGCTCCCCAAAACATGGAAAGACAGATTTGCTTAACCCCACAACCTGCCTGACTCTCAGTGCCTTCCTGCTCACTGCTGCCAACACTGAGATGCAAATTTAAATTACAACAGACAAGTCTTCTCCCAGGGAATATCGGTTATCCTGCTCTGTTTGCCATAACTGTGAGTGTTCACATAACCCTCTGTATGTTAAAACCTGAGGTGGACTCCTAACAAAAGATAAATTACTGCTATTGGCTACAGCTACATTCTGTTCATCAATTAATTACAAAATAATCTAATTACTAACACTACAAGTTAAATGGCTGAGCCCTAGGGAAAATGTAATTTCCTGAGACATTTTTGAGGGAAATAGATTTCAACTTTTAGTGTATGGGCACCCTCCATTCCCACTGTTCTCTTTTGCCAGACAAATGGAAGGTCACTCTAAGAACAACAGTACCACTGGTAAGACCAAATGGCAGTGCATTAGTCCTCAAACCATATGGTAATCCTGCAGCTTTAGAAACCATAATGAGGAATTCCTTAAAAACAAGACCTGTACAGCCAAGTGCTGATTTTGTGCTCCACTGCACTAAGTCTATGACATTATAGCTCAAAGTCAGTGAGACTGGTGCCGGAGCAGCCGTGGTGCCACAGACAATGAAGCTGCTCCCCAGTCCAGAACCCCCCAACAAGGTGACAGAGCTTGCTGCGCTCTCTGCAGCCCTCAGTGCTGAGCAGGACAACTCCTGGTGAGCCTTCAGCTACTCCTGCTCACTTGTGTCCTGTTCAGGTACAGAGCTCATGTGCTGCTCTGAATGGGATGGAACTTCAGCAGGGTACCTCTGTGGGTACCCAAAAAACCCTCAAGTGCAATACAGAGCTCAGAGCCTGGCTGTGTATTTTAAGTTGCCGTTGGGCTAAGCTAGTCCAAGCTGCTTTAAGCAATTTTGTTTAAAGCAATTTACACAAATATTTAGCTCTTTTCTCTGCTTGTGAATTTCCCTAAGCATATTATAGAAGTAGGTTAAAAAGAACTCTTTTTTTTAGATTGGAGGCAGGACAGCCAAACTTAAAAAGAATTTGCCTTAATTTCATTCTCCTTGGGAATGAAAACTGTTTTGTGACCAAGCAAGTGGTTGTTTCTCACTTTGCAAGCCTTGGCAACAGGACCTAGGGTGGCCTTCCCAGGTACATCCATACTCACACCATCTAGACAGAAACAAACTGCTCTGTGCACGGAGCAGGTTTTCCATCTGGGAGCACAGTTACTAATCCAGCAAGCTATTTGCTGACAGCTCTTTCCACTATTTGATCAGCTTTGCTTCTAGATTCATAAATCATTGTTCACATAGCATGCAGGATGTATATACCAAGGCAGCACTCAACATTAAAAATAATATAAAGCTTCATCACACCATCAGGAATGAGACTTTTCTGTAGGATAGGGCTGGAGAGAGAGCGAGGCAGCAGCTTCCCTTCCCCAGCAGGCTGTGTTAGGGGCTGACAGGTTGTACCCAAACAGAGAGCTCAGAAAAGCAGACAAAGAGTGGGCAAAGGTCTCTTATTCTCCGTACATCCCCCAACTTCACCTGAGAGCTCACACTCACCAGACACAAATTGCTCTTCTGTTTTTTCAGTGCTCTGTCCCCAAATACATTAAAGCATTAATGCCCTGGCAAAAAAGAAAGCAAATATTAACAGACAGGACTGTTTTCTGTCACTGCAAATACCTGCCTGTATGCACTGGTTACCTGACAAAAATAATTAAATACAAATGCCCAATAAATCCGTATATTGTAACTTAAATAGAACAAGATTAGGCAGCTTTCAGCCAGCCAAAACACACACACCCAGCCCCACATGAGTACTCCAACATAGCTTCAGGAAGTGTTCTGAAAGGAACCTGGGCAGCAGAGCCACCAGAAGGTTGGGAATACACACAGGAAGGGTTTAACTAGACCTCTCTGTAAGGTATGTCGAGGGTCCTAGCAGATGGAAGATACTTAAGAGCAGATAGTGCTCTGTCTCCTGTAAAGGCGATGAGTATGCATGTTCTTGACATGCTGTCTGCTCTCTCAAGCATCATCCCGAGTAATTTTTAACCCCTTCTTCACCCCAAGGTTTTAAGAGCATCATCCTGCGAGATTCAACAAAGCATTTTTCCTCCACATTCCCCATCCTCTTGAGTGTCAGTTGACTAAACTGCCAGAGTTCAGCCCCACACGTTGTCTCACCTCACAGACCCTGGAAAGTAAAAACCACAAGATCTTACTGGCAGTCCTGCTGCAACAATGCTGGTGGTGGACAGTTCCAAGGGAGAGGAGGAAGAAGAGTCTGGAGGTAAACTCTCCCACTGTCATGCAGTAAAGCCGATTGGAGGACGGTGTTGCTGGGCTATAGGAGTAAAGATGAAGCAAACTCCTTCCCAAAGGAATCTGGCTCCCAGTTTTTCTTTCCTTCCAGAAGCATCCCTTGTGAGAAAAAAATTGTATGACCCCCCTGAACTATTCCACTCTCACTTCACCCCAGGCGGGCACTGCCAACACACGTGTGATTATTACACTAATCCTTGGCAGTGGTACAGCTCAGCTCCGAAGGTAAGGGGTTAAGCCGAGGCAGCACAGCCACTGGGAAGCAGAGACTTAGTTTAAACTGACAAACCCAGTCCTCCGTAAACACAGGGAACAAATCCCACGAAACAGCGGCCATTAGGACAGTTGTTCTGGCTTTAAAGCAAGTAAGCAAATCAATGTTGATCCCCGAATCTGCGGGAGGGCGCTTACCCCTGACTCCTCATTGCTCCGTGACCAGAGATGAAGTGAGAATGCTCCGCCACCAGAATCCGCTGACACGCCGATAAACTTGAGAGAGAAAGACGGCAGGAGAAAGCGGGAGAAGAAAAAGGGGTGGAGGCAAGTCTGACATGTTTGTACAGTGCCTGATTCACCTAAGCTGCCGAGTTTGATTTCAGGGTGTGGTAACAGATGGGACACAGGAACATTCAGCGTAGAGAAGCCTCGGATTCCTGTTCCACGGAAAACGACAGATGCCAACAGCAAAGCCTCTTGGGACCATCTCACCTTCTTCTCACCGTCTCCTCTCTTGGTCCCTAGAGGGGATGAGAGAGATAAAGAGCTCAGAGTCACACCTGGGCCCCAATGTGCCGGGTCTCAGGCAAGAACTTTGGGGAGATCATCTCCCATTCCCCTCCGCCCTTTTTCACACCCGACTTCACTGTGACTTATTAAAGCTCCACTCGTCAGCTCTTCTCTCTCGGCTCCACAGCCTCAGGGCTAGGAGCTGCTGAAATTTCTAACAAACCCGACATCTCCTGTGTTGCCTGGCTGCAGATTTCAGGACCTGCCACCAATCCCTTGTCATCCCAGGAAGGAAAGATTTGATTGCTTGTTTTATGGCTCAATGTAGAAAAATTCACCCCATTTATTTGCATTGCAGATGAGCAGCACATGACCTGGCGCTTTTACTTTTCCCCTGTCCTCGCCATGAGTCAGAGCTGCCAGGTCTGGAGTCTGGGATCACCCTCTAATTCAGTTGCGCTGCCTGTGCCTCAGGGTTTACTGACTACTGGAAACAGACTTTCCACAAGCAGTAGGACACCAGCTCCAGCAGTATTGGCTGGGCTTGGTGACTGGGCCATCATCAGAGGACACTTTGGGGATTACAGCCTGGAGCATTTAGAGCTCATGGCAGCAAACCCATCAGCTGCCCTTGCTCCATTGCAAACAAGTATTCTTGACCTATCCAAACCACTGACAATGCTGGCTTAACCCTCATATATTTTTAGGTCCAAAGAACAGAGATACAAACCACAAAAACTCACCCCCATGACATTTTAGGGTTTTTTTTTCGTAACATTGTTTTTGTTGAACCACCCTTAAATAAATAATGACATGCTACAAATAATCATTAGGCGGTCATTATTATTGCTGGGAGTGGCTTGTCCCACAGAGATGAGCCAGCCGAGTGACCTTTTAGCCATGTTCCTCCCCATTCCCATTTTCCTCCCTACCTTTTCATTCCAACGAAAAGAGCTGCAATATCTTTGTACAACCACCAGAGTCTCAGCTGTAGTTGGAATTCATGAACTCTACAGTACTATCATGGAGAAGGAACAGAACTGAGGTTCATAGAGAGAACCTTTTGGAGCTAATGGTCTGAGGTTCCTAATCCTCATTTCCCAGCCTGCTAGCTAAATTGTGGAAGGCTGCTTCCTGAACATGCAGTCACCACTTCTACATTACACTGCAGGTCCCTGCCTGCCACAGTGACCCAGGTTTCCTGCCTATTCCCTCCCCAGGGTATAGGAAATAGAGCTAGCCAGGTTCCTTTCTGTCTGGGGATTAGCTTTTCTCTCCTACGGAGCAGGCCCCATACACAGATATAATCAAAAGAAGGAAAGTTCCCTTTAATAGTAAAAAATCATAGTAAATAACAAAGGGGAACAGTCTTCTTTCCCAACGCACTGGAAGTCACAGGGCAGAGCAGTGTGGTGGAGGATCAGGGATGAGGAAGCAGAGTGAACCTAGTAGGTGTGTATGGCAAACCATCCCTGTCATCTGCGCACCTGGGCTTTGCTGCTGTGCCAGGCAGTGCGGAGTCATCTGCACAACCATGGCATGGGGAGCGTCACACGCAAACAGCTTCTACAGTCTACAAGGAGTCATCCAGCCTTGGAGCCTGCTCCACATTTGCATGAGTATTGTATTTCCTGGGTTAAATGCTAGCACAGTCTTCTAGAACAAGACTTGAGTTTGTTACGAAGGGCAGAGCCTGATTTTACTTGTCACAGCACAAGCTTAGATGAAACTAAGGCAGTTTGGAGTCAGTATGAACCTCTGCTGCCTACAATCTTAATGAAAAATTAGGATACTTTCCAATCTTTATATTCACAAATTTGGTCCCCACAGTTCTGCACACTTTGAAGAAAAATTACCCAGTAAAAGTGAGACATCTCTAATTTTCCCCTTCAGCAACTATCCCTTCATTACACATTTTACTGCTCCTTGCCTGCCCACTGCTCTCTTCTTAGCTAGAGAATTGCACAAGACAATATAAATAATTATACTGGCGCATTTATATAAACACACGATACACACCCCACTCCTCCTACGGCTGCTCTCTCAGGTCCCGTCGGTCTCTGGGACAGCCATTCCTGGCAGCAACAAGTGCTGCAGGGTACGTTGACTAAATGTCTGCATTGCAGCCTGCCTGATTTATCTTCCCAGCAAAGGCCATTCCATATTCCATGTCCCCTCCCCAGACACAAAGCAAAGCAAATTTTGTATCCAAAGTGCTGATCTCATGTCGTTCCTCATCCTGCCCAGCCACATCACTGTGCTAGGAGAGCTCCAGGATCTCACATCCTGCACTGCTACTGCAACAGGTCCCATTTAATCACCACTGAAGGAGGATTTTGTGATGCAAACCCCACTATTAAATGTTTTCCTATTCCAATAGGCAACACTGGGGAATTTTAACTTAAAATATAAAAGGTCAGAGACACCCAGTCCAACCGTACCATATTCAATGTCTGTCTTCTACCTCAGCCAGGAGAAACATACCTGCCCACCTGTCTGAAACTTGTGGAAACTGGGCAAACTGCTAAGGAAAATGGGTCTGTATTCAACAGAGCTTCCAGGAAAAGCCTAACACCAAGGCACAGGAAATCTGATATATTCAGGAAATCCTAGTAAGAACTACAGCAATTCCACTTATGAAGCCAGGCTGTGGCTCAGCACCAGACTTTTCATCAAGTGTTCCCTGTGCTCAGGGATCAGATGGGAAGCAGAAATGCTCTTCCACACAGAATGCCTTCCTTCCCTTTCATGGTTCTGTAAATCTAGAGAAGCTGGCCGGGGAAATGAAAGAATACACTTTAAGGATTGGGACAACAGGGTCACTAGGAGAAAGGGTGTGTTGCAAATTTGCACAATAGAACCAACCGGTGGGAGGAAGCACAAGATAGGAATCAGGTCTGGGATTCTCATAATCAACACATGACAGTGAAGTCAGGACTGGAGATAAGGAGGGAGCAATCCAGAGGGAGTTTCACTTTAAATAAGTGCTTACAGTTTAGCCACCTGTCCTTAAGGGTATCCCATTCGGAGGTGGGCAGAACATTCCATGAGTGCATTACCTGGATAGCCAGCTCCAGTGTTTGGGTTATCCTCCTGCTTACTATGCATTGCTGCCATTATCCAGGTAGGATCCTGAGATGCCAGCAGGACAAAGCCCTGCTTGTACTCCAGCTGCATGAGCTCACCCAGTGTTTTATCCAAGGTGTACAGTCTAAACCAGGGGAGGTTTTTTTCCCAATTCAAAACAAAGCACAAATGCATGAGAGCTGAAGAACTGGAAGTTCATTGATCGAGTCCATTGCCTCTGCCAGAGCTCTGGGTGCTGTAGAAGATCTGGACATCTCCACACTCCTATCTGGCAGGGCAATGGGGAGCTCAGAGTCTCTCTCTGCCCTATGCCAAACAATGCAGACTGGGGCACATGGAAGAAGGCAACTTGTCCTGCTTCAGGCTCACAATGGCTTACAGCCAGGTTCTCCTGGGCCAAACAACTCTTGTGGTGGAGTAAAGTGCACCAGCAAGGAAACAGCACAAGGACCTGCAAATTCTGCCAAATTTGCAGAATGCCAGAGGCAAGAGGCACAGAATCATTAAGGTTGGAAAAGACCTCTAAGATCATCAAGTCCAACCTTTGACCCATCACCACTTTGTCAACCAGACCAGAGCACTGAGCACCACATCCAGTCCTTCCTTGAACACCTCAAGGATGATGATTCCACCACTGCCCTGGTGCAGTGCCCCAGTACCTGACAACTGTTTCAGAAAAGAAAGCAGGTAAAGCTTAGAGAGGGTAAGAAAACATCAGACTCTGAAAATTTTAACACCTGCTCTGATGAGAAACTGAAGTTAAAGCTCAAGAAGATCACCTGAACACAGCATATTTTGCTACTGGTTAAATTCCTGTGGTTTGGTAGATGTTCCTGCAGATAATATCAATACAGCTTGGAACACAGCCACCTCACATGTCTTCCAGATCTTTTATTTGTAAAAATTCACAGACTTATTTGGTTCTTACAGAAGTAACATCATGATCCATCTCACAAGCCTGTGCCACCCTCTAGAAAAGGTGCTTCTGCTTCCCACAAAAGCCACGATGATCAGTCCTGCAATGGCAACATCACAGCAGAAAGCCAACATTGCCTACAGATTCCCAGGTCACCTTGGGAAAGGCATTCTGCACGCTGTTAAAATGACTGTGACAATGCTCAACTCCCCCAGAACAGAGGCGGCTTAATCTGTTGTTTTTCCAAGCATGCTGCGATCCTTAAGGATGCTATAGAAATGACGATTGAAATCCCTCGCTGGCACCAGAGGAATACAGACCGCAGCCTCTCTTCTGAATAACTAGGTCAGTCAGCTATCGCTGAAGTATTAGCCAGAATCCAGCGAATTCCTAGTGGCTAAAATAACGGCTGCAAAAGTCTAACACCATTTGCTGCCATTAGTCACTCTACCTCTGGGTACATTCAAACCCAGCTCTGCAGAGCTTAGAATAATTTGAGGGTTGGAGCCTGTGCTTGTCAAAATCCAAGCACGTGCCTCCGTGCAGCACAGGTTTCCCATCCCACTTGCAGCCATGTGGAGGCAGGGAACAACTGTCCTTGCAGCCAACTCAGCCTTACCCTGAAAGGATTCAGCCCAGGAAAATCAGGGAGATGCACTGCTAATCCCATGCCAGGGAATAGGCATCAGCTCCCAGGAGCAGCTTCTATGTCGCAAGTACAGGAGAGGGTTTTGACCTACGGTGGTTAGTGGATGGCATTTTTGGGGGGAAAGCTGATAGAGACAGAGCAGCTATTCCTCTCTGTAAAAGAAAAGAGGGGGAAGGGCTGACAATTGCAATGGGAACAACTATCTGAAATTTATTTCAACCCCTTCCAGTTGGATCAAGCATTTGGTTTTCTCTCCCTGGAAGTGGGAGACAATTGAAGGATTAAACCTGGTTGGGTTTTTTTGTTTTTTTCGTACCCCCCCCCCCCCCTTTCAATCCCACTATTATTAAATTTATTTT